AAAATAAAAATACATGTAAGAACTTATATGATGTTACTAAAGAACTGCTTTAGCAGGAGAAAAAGTGGTTTTAATTGCTTAATGAGAAAAAAAAGACAAAAGGTTGAAAGGGAAGGGTAGGGTGGTGCACACCTGTAACATCAGTGCTTGGGAGGTGGAGACATGAGGATTGCAAATTCAGGGCCAGCCTTGACAGTTCCAGGACAATCTGAGCTACATAACCACACGGTTTAAAAAATTAAGAACTGGGCACCAGTAACTCATGCCTGTAATGCCTAGCTACTCGGGAAGCCAACATCTGAGGATCGTGGTTCAAAGCCAGCCTGGGCAGGAAAGTCCATGAGACTCTTACCTCCAATTAACCACCAGAAAACTGGAAGTGGCACTGTGGCTCAAGTGGTACAGCGCTAGCCTTGAGCTGAAGAGCTGAGCAGAAGCACCCAGGCCCAGAGTTCAAGCTCCACAACCAACAAAAAAAGAGAGAGAGAGAGAAAGGGGGGAGAAAGAAAAAGAAATAAGGAAGGAGAGAGACGGAGGAAAGAAAGAAAGGGACATTCATCCTGAAAATTGTGGGAAATCCTTAGCAAATATGCCCAAAATGAATTGAAAGAAAAGAAAAAGTTAGAGCAGAATAAATATTTAATAACAAATATTTTGAAAGTATGTAAAATGGACACATCTCAGAAGATCAAGGAAAATATTGTTTAAAAATTAGGAATGATAAAGTTTCTATCACTGATGCCATGGGCATATAGACAACATGAATAATTTTATAGAAAAAATGTGCAAGTTCTAGAAAAAACAACATACTCAATATTCTATAATTACTAAGAAATTTCTTCTTACATAATATTCCAGGTCAAGCTATTTCAAGTAGTAAGTTGCAGCTAAAAGCTCAAGATTACAAAGGAAAAAAAATTGCCATTAAGCAGTTAGTTTACTTAACATATCAAAATCTAAAGGCTATCTAAGAAAGGAGAATTGCTGACCAGTATCCAAAACAAAATATTCCATGCAATTTCAAGCAAGCTCTCAGCAGTTTGGTATTGTTAATTTGTTTAATTTGGAGAGTTTGACAAGGTGATTCTAAAAGGCCAATAAACTCTTAAAGAACTGTGAGGAGGGCCTTTTCAATTAGACATTAGACTTAGTATAAGCAGTAGTATAACTACTTTTTATTAAAAGGCAAAGACACAGACTTATGTATGTATACCTGAATTATAACAGAGGTACTACTAAAGTTACATTGAAGTTACATAGGTGAAGAAAGGACTTTTTAGGAAATGATACTGAGCAATTTGTTTTTCTAGGGAGGAAAAGGAAATTGTCTTACCAAGAACAAATATCTAAATGCTTAATGGATAAATGAATATGATAGCTTTTGTAAAGGCTTATACAAAAAAGGAATAATTTAAAATAAATATTTAAGTACTTTAAGTTCATCAAAGACTCCATAAGGAATAAAAAGGTAGTCCACAGCTTTCAAAAAATACAGTACATAAAAATTAAGAACAGGAAGTGGCGCTGTAGCTCAAGTGGTGGAGCGCTCGCCTTGAGCTGAAGAGCTGAGGGACAGCGCCCAGGCCCAGAGTTCAAGCCCCACGACCGACAAAAAAAAAAAAAAAAAAAAAAAAAAAACAAATAAAAAGCCAGAGCTTTTTTAAAAAAAAAAAAAAAAAAAAATTAAGAACATTAGAGAATTCTACAGAGAAATAGTAAGAAAATGACAGCACGCAAAAGGCCTGATTGGCTTATAGACAAAAAAATAGGCACACCTTCATTAAATCAAAGAAATCAAAACCACAATGTGACATTAATACTGCCAAATACTAAGTATTATGGTGGATGTAAGGTAACTCCTTGTGGGATTACAAATCATTTCAAGTACTGCTACCATAGGAAATATCATGGCACTGGAAAATTTTTATGTGTGTCCACATCTAGTCTGTATTTCTTTTCTGTGTGTTCAGAGAAATTCTTTAACATTTGTGTCAGTATACAGGTGTAAGTTCCATTTTGTGTGTGTGTGTGTGTGTGTTGACACGAATGCTTGAACTAAGGGCTTGGGCTCTGTCCCTGACCTCCTTTACTCAAGGCTAGTACTCTTCACTTGAGCCACAGCTGCATTTCTGGTTGTTTGATAGTTTATTGGAGATAAGATCCTCAGATCTCAGCTTCCTAAGTAGCTAGGATTACAGGTATGAGCCACTGGCAGCTAGCTGCATCATTGTTCTTAATGCAAAAGTTTCAAAATTAATGAAAGAAATTATGTACTTCTATCTTTGTGATATGGTAACATGTCTGAAGGTTCTTTAGGACCATGTTAAAAGAGGTTGAGGAGGGAAAGGGCAATATCTTGGCATATTTAGGAAAGAAAATAGGCTGTAGTAGTGGAAATGAGTTTATGTACATATGTATGCAGCAATTAGATATACCTTATAATCAGAAAATTAGTATTGCAAAAGAATCATGTCTTAAAGTATCATTAATATGTTTATATATAGCTTTAAAAATAAAATTTTTATGGGTGTTATATTTTTAAGTGATACAAAGAAAAGCCTGAGTGTGGTGATCTTGAATGTCTGAGTAGTACTCCCCTCTGGAGAGGGGATAGGAAAACAGATTTAGTTAGAGAAGGGGGGTGGAAGGGTCAGCACAAGTGGTTTCAGAAATACTGCTTTCTGCTGGGGTGGTGACACTCTGCCATAGTCCTATTCAGAGGCAGGAAGATCCCTTATGTCTAAGGGTTCCAGGTCAGCCTAGACAACATAGCAAGAACTCATCCTCAATAAGAAAAAAACATTTTTTTTCTTTGTAACTTGGTTGGTGTTGGATATACCAGTGTTTGCATGTGTGTGTGCGTGCACACATACACCAACACATTCAATGTGGAGTTATATATGAGTCACAATAAATTAAATGGGAAGTCAGAATGAAGATAGAACACAAGAATTTTCTTAAAAGGACCAGAGAAAGTAGGTGGTATTGGAGGGCCACATGGGAATGTTGGCCAAGCTTCCCAATTCTGCTGTTTTGAGCTTTAGTTCTCTTAGTTTTATTTACATTAGTACATGCTTGCTATTTACAACTGAGACTTGGGATAAACTTATCTCATTGTAATTGAGGCCTGCGCAGGCCCCAGCCTGAACATTGTGGCTAGGGGCTGCTATCTGCCTCATAAAGCAAGTGGATGATTTGTCTTTAGGGAAGACAAAATTGTCTCTCCTTTGAAAAGCCTCCTTACATACTTGGATTTGAAATTTGCCAGAAACAGAAGAGCAGGGACAGGGAGGCCACATGAATCTGGATTTTTCACTTGAGATGGAAAAAAGACAGGAATTAATAGCATAAAATTTAGAATTGGTTGTGGTTACCTTCCAGGAATTCACCACTATCAACTCGTCTTCTCTTTATGACTGTCATAAAAGGAAGTTCACTAATTAAAAAAACAAAAACTAGTTTACAGAGTTGGTCTTCCCTTTCTTCTTGTTCCTCGTTCCATCTTCTACCCTTTTAATATGACTGCAAAGAATCTTTGGATATAAAATCATAGCCACAACATAGAAATAGTTTCTTTTGTAAATTTTGAAACTTTTGTTTCCTAAAAATACAGTGTATCTTAACTCTTAGGTGAATCTCCAAGGGAGAGACATATCTTCTCTTGAGTCTACAGATCTCAGTCTGAGAAAAACCACTATTGCTTGAAAGGGTTATAGGGGTCCATACAGTGATGATTATGCCAAGACACAGAGCCTTACGGGAGAGAAAAGGGTGCAGGTACAGGGCCTGGTTTGCTCCTGACAAAATGTTAAGGCTTTTACCCCCAAGTTCTGCTTTCACATTTCTGAACCTTTAAACTAAAATTTCCAACCCTCTCAAATCCAGTTCTTTTTTAAAATAGTAATGACTGTAGATCTGTCCCTTTACCATCCTGAAGTGAAATTCATACCTAATATCAATTTAAAAGTGAAATTCATAACTTAATATCAACTTAAACATGTTTGTAATGTAAGAGAAGAAATAAAATGAATTTTTTTAAACGAGTCTATGAGACTTTTTTTGGTGGGGGGGGTTACCTGTGGGGCTTGAACTCAGGGCCTGGTTATTGTCCCTGGGCCTCTTTATGCTCAAGGCTAGTGTTTTACCACTTGAGCCACAGTGCCACTTCGGGCTTTTTCTGAGTAGTTTATTGGTGATAAAAGTCTCATAGACCAGCCAGGCGCCTGTGGCTCACGCCTGTAATCCTAGCTACTCAGGAGGCTGAGATTTGAGGATCGTGGTTCAAAGCTAGCCCCAGCAGGAAAGTCCCTGAGACTCTTATCTCCAGAAAACCGGAAGTGGCACTGCAGCTCAAGTGGTAAAGCACTAGCCTTGAACTGAAGAGTTGAGAGACAGTGCCCAGGCCCAGAGTTCAAGCCCCACAACTGACCACACCCTCCCCCCCCCCCCAAAAAAAAAAAAAAAAGTCTCATAGACCCTTCTGTCCAAACTGGCTTTCACCCACTATCCTCAGATCTCAGCTTGCTGAGTAGTTAGGACTACAGGTGTAAGCCACCAGTGCCTAGCTTTGTAAATTTTAGTTATCTCTGTAGTACCATCATTCTCCTTGTTATCCAGGCTTGAAACTTCTCTGTTTTACCATATCATAATTTTTAGTCCAGTGTTTGTGGACTCAGATTACTTTTCTTGGTTCAAAGCTAATTTTTCCATCTACATAATATATAATTTAAAATGATTTTTATATTAGTAAAATACATTTTTATGAATTTGATGGAGTCAAATTTTGACTTATAATAAGGAAAAGTTCTAATGGTTAGAACTGTTTAATAGTATACAGTTTTAGGCATTCTGTGTCACTGTGACCATTTATCAGATATTCTGGAAATAAACTTTTTCTCATCCATACTTTGAGTCCCTAGACTTGACAAATTACAAATTGATTTTATGACTCCATGGACAAAGTTTATGGCTTTATAACCTTAAATTTTATTCCCACTTAGGGCGAATACACCAAGCAATGGTAACGTCTTTAAATGAAGATAATGAAAGTGTAACTGTTGAATGGATAGAAAATGGAGATACAAAAGGCAAAGAGGTATGATGACTGGACTAAAATGTCTAGTTTTTCAATCCAGATTGTAGATGTAAAGCAGCACAGAAAACTACATAATATTTATATCGTGTGTGCATTCTTTATCATTTTTTGAAAAAATAACTCAAAAATTTTGTTCTTACAAATCTTAGATGAAACTGTGCGTTTTTTTAAACTCAGCTCACAAACTTTTAAAGTTGTACTACTTAATACTTTTGTCAGTCCCTGATAGATACTAGCATTTCATGTAATGTAGGGTATGAAGTGTTATGTTAAGAGAAATTGTTGGGCTGGGAAGGTGGCTCAGTGGTAGAGCACTTACCTTGCATGCATGAGGCTCTGGGTTCGATTCCTTAGCACCACATAAGCAAAAAGAAAAAAAGTCGGAAGTGGCGCTGTGGCTCAAGTGGTAGAGCGCTAGCCTTGAGCTGAAGAGCTGGGGGACAGCGCCCAGGCCCAGCGTTCAGGCCCCATGACTGGAACGCCCCCCCCCCCCCAAAAAAAAAAAAGAGAAATTGTTGTTTTTGGTTTTTTTTATTGCTTGAAAGTGTTTTATTTGGGCAGAGGTAGGGTAACAGATTACTGCCTTTGTTGCTGGAAAGAGAAATTGTTTAAATATATGTGAATTATCATTCTGAAATCTTAATTTTCAAAGCAGTGTCATTCATGAGGTTGAAAGTACTTGGAAATTATTTTCTCTTTACATTCATTAAAAGAATACCCTTAAAAATATATGTCCATATTTTAAACAGATTGACCTGGAAAGCATCTTTTCACTTAACCCTGACCTGGTACCTGATGAAGAAATTGAACCCAGTCCAGAAATACCTCCACCTCCAACATCCTCAGCCAAAGTAAACAAAATTATAAAGGTTAGTGATAAAAATGTAGAGCAGAGATCTATGCATGACAGTACATACCTGTAATTCCAGCTAAGGAAGATGAAGCAGGAGAAATGAAAGTTTGAGACCAGCTTGACCTACTTAAGTCAGAAAAAGAAAATTTAGAGATTATATTTGAGTGGGGGGTAGGAGCGGGGGTGGGAGGGGTGGGGAGGTGGGGGAAAGTGGTCTGGTTTGAAATTGTTAGGTAAAGAATACATACTAAGTATTGAATAGTTTGCTTTTAAAAAAATAATTTCTTTCTTCCATCTACCTTCATGGAAATACAAACTTTGATCGATTCAAGTTGTATGATTCATAATTAAGGACATCTGATTTGTCATGGAAATTTCTTGCCTAGTTAGAATTTTTCCTGAAGTAGAAGATAGAGATGTTGTCCAGGTGCCAGTAACTTTTTTTTTTTTTGGTCGGTCGTGGGGCTTGAACTCTGGGCCTGGGCGCTGTCCCTCAGCTCTTCAGCTCAAGGCGAGCGCTCTACCACTTGAGCTACAGCGCCACTTCCGGTTTTCTGGTGGTTTATTGGAGATAGGAGTTTCACGGTCTCTCCTGCCCGGGCTGGCTTTGAACCGCCATCCTCAGATCTCAGCCTCCTGAGTAGCTAGGATTACAGGCGTGAGCCACCAGCGCCCGGCTAGATGCCAGTAACTTTTGCCTGTAATCCTAGTGACTCAGAAGACTGAGATCTTAGTTCAAAGCCAGCCCAAGCAGGAAAGAAGCTATTTCCAATTATCCAACCAAAAGCCTGAAGTAAAGTTGTGGCTCAAGTGGTAGAGCATCAGCATTGAATGAAAAAGATGCAGCATTTAGATCCTGAGTTGAAGCCCCAATACCAGTACATACAAAAAAAGAAAAAAGAAGTCAACCATTTTCTTATCTATATATGTGTTGAATGAATACATGTAACTTGATGAATGAATATGATATGGCTTTTATAGTTTAAAAAAGTTTGGTATTTTGTAGGGAAGACATACATAAACATCCATATATAATACAAAATGAGAGAATTAACAAAATCTTCTACTTTGTAAACTATTCATATAAACATAAGACAGACTTTCAGTTCATATGACTTAATATTGACAGTCACTGTAGTTGCCATTTGTAAAGGACTGTTTTCATATTCAGTTTCAAAACCTTGGAGAGTGCGATTTTATCTCCCTAACCTCCATTCAGGTTTTCTCACATGGTATGCAGGCTTTTTACATATAAGTTACATCCCCAGCCCTGTCTTTCTTGGTATATCATTAGGAACTCTTGCTTCGCATTAAAGTCACCTGAAGAATTTTTCTAAATACTGACTTCTGGGCTCCTCCCAAGAATTCAGTTTTAACTTATTTTTTTCCTGGAGGTCGTTGTGTCACTATCCTTTCCTTGACACCTGTTTGAATGTGTGCTTATGATTCAGTATAACTGTGTTACTTGATTTTTTTGTTGGATGTGGAGCCTGAACTCTGGGTCTGGGTTCTGTCCCTCAGCTCCTCAGCTCAAGGCTAGCACTCTACCACTTGAGCCATGGCACTGCTTCTGGCTTTTTCTGCTTCTGTGGTGCTGAGGAATCAAACCTAGGGCCTCATGCATGCAAGGCAAGCACTCTACCACTGAGCCACTTTCCCACCCCCTTGATTTTTTGTTTTTTTTGAAGTGAATTGTCTTCGAAAATAATAGGACCTAAAACTTGTTCCATTGATCTATTTTGTCCAAATCTTTGAAACTATCAGTGAAACCTTTTAGTGTGACAATGTTTAGATATTTTAACAAGGGGGTTGTACTCTGTCTAGAACTATTGTATAATTACATTGATATTCAAAGATGAAACTTAGTACCTAACCTCAAAATCCAAAGTACACTAAAATCTAAAAGGTTTTCAGCACCAGCATGTTGCTACAAATAGAAACTTCTATACTTGACCTTTTATGGTAGATTTTGTCAGAATAAAGGTGTACCAACATTATGGCATCAAATTGCCTTTGTGTATATAGGATACAGCTTTGTGGCAAAGCCCTTACCATAGCATGCCTAAAGCTTGGATTCAATCCCTAATGCTAGGAAAAAATTACCTTAAGACTGTCTGATATATAACACAAATGGGTCTATATTTTAAACTCAGGTTCCATTCCAAAGATATTTATATAATATATAATACAGAAAAATCAGATAATTACTTATACATTGTTTGGCAGTGTAGCTGTACTGAAGTTATATATCCTCTCATTACCTCGGTTTTCACATGGCCGAAATGGGAAAAACAAGAATAATGACTTCATGGGTTATGTAAAAGTAAAATGTAATGATATTTATGTGTCCTTAGAACAATCCCTTGCTCATTAATTCCTGAATATTGGTCTTGGAGTGAAGATTGGTTGATATATCTCATACAGGAACTTAATACTGATAACAGTAATTCATTAGATTACTTGTTTTTCTCTATTTAATTTTGTGTTGCTGTGTTTTGGCCCATTTTTTTGTTAATTAAAAGAATCTGAAATAATGATATATACATGTCAAAAAAATACAGTGAGTATGTTTTTCTTCTATAGAATCGACGGACTGTGGCTTCAGTTAAGAATGACCCTCCTCCAAGAGATAATAGAGGTAAAGTACAACTTTATCCCTTAATCTTCCCTAAAGTTTTTTGGGTGCTGGTACCAGACCTTGAACTCAGGGCTAGATGCTGTCACTTAACATTTTTGCTCACAGCAAATACTTTACCACTATTGCACCTTTTGTTTTCTCGTTAATTGGAAGCCAACCCAGGCTGGCTTCAAACCAAAGTATTTAGATCTTAGCCTCCTAAGTAGCTAGGATTATAGGTTTGAGCCACCAGCACCTGGATTTAAAAATAATTTTTCATAATGTGTATTGATTAATAAATATAAACTATGAAATATGTAATTTTTTATTCATCTCAGTTTTTTTTTTTTTAACCCCAGTCTTGGGGCTTGAACTTGGTTGTGGGTGTTGTCCCTGAGCTCTTTTGCTCAATGCTAGTGCGCTGCCACTTTGAGCCACAGTGCCACTGGTTTTTGTGGTGGTTAATTGGAGATAGGAGTGTTAAGGGCACTTGTCTGCCTGGGCTGGTTTCAAACCATGATTCTCAGATCTCAGCCTCCGGAGTTAGCTAGGGTTACAGATGTGAGCCACTGGCACCTGGCTTCATATTCCTTTAATTGACTATTAAAATTGAAGTTTAGTTTGGTTGTATATAAACTACTCAGGTTGACTTTTATATCTAAAATTACATTAGAAGTTAAGTGTATGCATAGTACCTTGGAAATGTACCTGTATAACAGTTCATTGAATAGAATTCATTAAATTTCATATTTTGTTTATACACATCATTAGAAAACTGGCAGTTTTCAAAAAGTGACATGTAATTATCAGAGGTATCTGTTATTTTAAAGTTATTTCTTATTTTTTGTTAATTTTATGTTCGGAATTTGAATTTCCTTGTTTTTTTTTTTCTTTTTTCTTGCAGTGGTTGGTTCTGCACGTGCACGTCCTAGTCAGCTTCCTGAACAGTCATCTTCTGCACAACAGAATGGTAGTGTTTCAGATATATCTCCAGTTCAAGCTGCAAAAAAGGAATTTGGACCCCCTTGTATGTAAATCATGTATCAAAGATTTAGTCATTTCAGGCATACATGTCTTCTCTCTTGGTAATCCTTTTAAGTCTCCAATTGAATTTCACTTTACCACTCTGGAAAATTTAGTTTTGTTCTTAATGCTTTAGTCTGCTACTTCAGATTTTTAACGTATATTTTTGGGAAAGCAAATTTTATAAGTGAGATTCTAAGTGAGGTTCTAAGTGAGTTTTTCTGTCACTAAAATTCTGACCAGGTGATAATTTATCAGTTGCTACAGAAAAAAAAAAAACCCTTCAAATTCTAAGATTTATGATTCTAAACCAAGAGATAACATGTATCAGTATGTTTGAGTCATTTTTCTTGACTCATTTGTAGATTGTCCCATTCCTAGTTTTGTAAAAGCAGCTCATACGTAAAAGTTCACATAGGTGTTACAGGCATGTTTGCTTTTTGTCAGTGTACCTTTGTGTATGTGGTGAAATTATTCATAACATTTTTGTGTATGAGTATACTACTCTAAAAAGTATATTTCCTGAACAGCTTATCTTTCTTCTTTCAGCCCGTAGAAAATCTAACTGTGTGAAAGAAGTAGAAAAATTACAAGAAAAACGTGAAAAACGGAGACTGCAGCAGCAAGAACTTAGAGAAAAAAGAGCACAGGTTTGTTATATCAGTGTGTTTTCTTTCCAACCAAACATTTTATTACTATTATATTTCTTTGCACTATTGTGTTTGAATCAGGGCTGTGTTTCCTAACCAGAACTTATACTATGGAGCCATACTTCCCACCCCTTCCCCCTTTTTTTTGCTGGTCATGGGCGCTTTCCCTGAGCTCCTTTTTTTACTCAAGGCTAGTGCTCTAGCCCTGAGTTTTGCTGTTTGTTTTTGAGGTAGGGTCTGGCTTTCTCCTAGGACTCTACTTCAGTGGTGTTCATCTATATTAAGCTTCCTGGTAGCTAGGTTAACAGCTGTGTCCCACCATGTCCAGCTCTTCCTAGAGAAAGGTTCTGGTGGGCTTTTCTGACTAGACTGGCCTCAAACTTTTCTGTCTTCTGTATAGTTAGGATTATACCCTTGAGCCATTAACATCTGGTTCTAACCTATGATTCTTTCTTTTTTTTTTTTTTTTTTTTTTTTGGGTCCGGTCGTGGGGCCTGAACTCTGGGCCTGGGCGCTGTCCCTCAGCTCTTCAGCTCAAGGCTAGCGCTCTACCACTTGAGCCACAGCGCCACTTCCAGCTTTTTTCTTTTTGCTTATGTGGTGCTGAGGAATCAAACCCAGGGCCTCATGCATGCAAGGCAAGCGCTCTACCACTGAGCCACCTTCCCAGCCCCTAACCTATGATTCTTGAGACTGTCATTGAAAAAACTGTGGAGAGGTATCACTCATTTTATAAATTTAAAGAGTTAGTTACATTAGCTGGGCACCAGTGGTTCATACCTGAAACCCTAACTACACAGGAGACTGAAATTCAGAGGATCTTGGTTTGAAATTAACCCAGGCAGAAAAGGCCACAAGGTTCTATCTCCAAAATAATTTAAAAAGGCCAGGCTGGAAGTGTGACTCAAGTGGTAGTCTGCCAGTTTAGCAAACAGGCTAAAGAAGTGTGAATCCCTGAATTTAAATTGCAGTAGACAAAAGAAATAAAACAAATTCTTTATGTTAAAATTGTGAAATAACAAACTCTTGAAAATATGTTGCCATAAGAGATTTCATGTATTTTTCATGTTTTTTAGTGTATTAGCCCTAGTGTTTTTGCTTTTTGAATAATAGGCCATTGTATATAAAGTTGCATTGTTTTCTGTATTTAATTTCATCATGGCATAGTGAAAAGGAAGAAAATTCTTGTGTTTTGATTTTTATTGAGCGATATTGGTCTTTTCTATGTTCCTCTCATTTTCTTCAGATGGTAGCAAAGCTATTTGATAACAATAGGAAACTGTTCTTCTACTCCTTGATAGGAATGTTACTTTGTCTATAATCTTTCAATGTGCTTGTATCTATTTTAATCTCAGAATTTGTTTTGTTTACTAAAACATGAGGTTGTTTATTTAGCATATGTAAATGTCCTTAATCTTTTACACTTGTGTTGTGGAACTGAGGATCCAGTATGATATTCAACTTAAGTAGCTCAGCTTATGGCTAAGTCACCAGAGGATTTCTAGTAGAGTTTTGAAATAAATAATACACAAATAGATAATGATACTGGCATAGATGCCACCTAGTGTTTCCTTTGGGTACTTGATAATATTTAAACATCTTTGTAATCTCTAATCTAATTTTACTTTCTGCTTCTCAGTTGACATAGTTGGTATTACTTCCTAGAAGGTTAACTGAAAAATTTGAGTAACATTTAATATTTACATTTAAAGCAAATCTGAGTATGACTTATGAAAAAAATCTGACTTTTAAAAATGTTTAATAATTAATTGTTCATGGCTAGGAGAACCTGCTAATGATTATTTATAATTTAATCTGAACTTTGTTAATTTTAGAGCATAAAAGTCATTTGGATATTTGAAAAATGAAAAATGATGTGACTTAATTCCTGTAAGTTCTGTCTTATTGACATGTGGCTGTCTTGCCATGCCTTAAGGTTTTGTTTTTATTGAGTCCACAAAAGTAGGAAGTGAATATAAATGAACCCATATTCTGATTTGCTAAAACACTAAGTAATTAAATTTAAATCTAGATTTTTTCTTTTTAGTAGTGAGGCCTGAACTCTGGGCCTGGGTGTTGTCTCTGAGCTTCTTTTTGCTCAAGGCTAGCACTCTACCACTTGAGCCACAGTGCCACTTTGGGCTTTTTCTGCTTATGTGGTGCTGAGGAATCGAACCCAGGGCCTCATGCATGCATGCCACTCTATCACTGAGCCACCTTCCTAGCAAATCTAGATTGTATTTTTCTGTAATTTCAACTTCTCTAGAATTCTTTGGTGGTCTTTTACATGAGTGCTATTTCTCTTTTGCTTTCTTTTCTGAGATAAAGCATAGGTATAGTAGATGATGTTTTAAATAGTTAAAAGATAAAAGGGATTTTTATAATTAATAAGATACTAATTATTAGTTATTAATATGGAAGTGATTGTGAATGTATTAAACCTGAACTCTGAAACTGTCACAGTTTCAATTTAAGAAGGGGTTACGGCAAATGACACTAATTCAGTTACAATTTTCAAAACACATACAACATAAATACAGCATGTAATATTATTATAATTGGTAAATTTTCTTTGTTTTCTGATAGGATGTTGATGCTACAAACCCAAATTATGAAATTATGTGTATGATCAGAGACTTTAGAGGAAGTTTGGATTATAGACCGTTAACGACAGCAGATCCTGTAAGATTCTTTGTAAACTATTGCACTGGTACTACTTACTTATTTTGTAAAAAAAAAAATGTTGATGTCTACTAAATTAATATTGTATTTAGCTATGTTTCTTTCTTTATGAGGGCTCAATCCTTATATTTTAAGAAGAAAATCAAGAAATCATCTATTTGTATTCTCGTCTCCCATAATTTCAGATACTGCAATGCTGCCCAGGGAGATGCATGCAAAGCTTTCCTGTCTCTGGAAGGACAGAGAAGATCTAAGAGAGATCTAAGACTCTAGAGGACTCTAGAGTCACTTAGATAGAGTGATCTAAGAAGACTCAGTTCATTTCCAGTTGCCACTTAGGTTTGATCTCAGTTCTAAGCTCATTTCCTCTTTGGCTTAAACTATTGATCCAACTGTCACTCTGATTTATTATTCATCTTTTTTTGATGAAAGGATGGTTCTTGAAATCTACAGTATACCAGAAATACAGTGCTGAAGACAGTCTGCAGTCTTCAACTCTTTTGCTGTTGAAAAAGGAGAATTTGGGCTGGGTGCTGGTGGCTCATTGCAGTAATTCTAGCTACTCAGAAGACGGAGTTCTGAGGATCACAGTTCAAAGCCAGCCCAAGGGAGAATGGTCCATTCAACTTATTTCCAACTAACCAGCAAAAAAAGCCAGAATTGAAGCTGTGTCTCCAGTAGTAGAACACCAGCCTTGAGCAAAAAAGTCAACTTAGAGTGCTAGGCCCAAAGTTCAAATTCCATCACTGGAACCAAAAACAAAAATTGGAATGAGAAGTAGTTGTACAGAAAATGCTTTTTGAATAATGTAATCCATATGACCTAAAGTTTATAAGTGTTGACTACAAAATACATTTGTGTTAGGTGTATTATATAGGATATAATAGAATTTAATTAGTCTGGTAATGATAATAAAAGATTTTGGCTTTTAATTTTAGCTTCATGGTAATGTTTTTATTTGAAGAAGGCTGCATTGAGAATATAACTTTTATGAAAAAATATTTATACATAAGAATTGCCATGGATTAGAGAAGTGGTATAAGTGGCAGAGCACCAGATATGCATGAAAAAGCTGAAAAAAATCGTGAAGCCTTTAGTTCAAGCACCAGTACTGGCACACACACACAGAAAATAATTTATAATTTAAAAATTTTTCTGAAGTATTTTGCTCAGTAATCTGAGAGTTCTGGTTTTTCTATAGTAATTTTTGCCAACAACATTCCTGATAATCAACCTGAATATATATATATACATATACATATATATATATATATATATATATATATATATATATATATATAAAACACTTTCTAGAGTAGAAAGTTTTATTTATTTTTTTGTATACAACATAGCACTTCAAGTACTATATGACTTTGTACAAAAATTATTTTCTAACATAATTATTTCCCAAGGTAATGGCTTACCTAAGCCAAAATTAGCACATTTCTATTACACTTTAGAAATAATTGTGTCTGACAACCTTTAAAGTGTGTTCAAAGCTAATTATTTCTTAAGCTTAATTGTCATACTTGTTCTATGCATAGATTTTTAGAAACTCTTGATAATTACTGAAGTAAAATTTTTTTATTTCTAGATTGATGAACATAGAATATGTGTTTGTGTAAGAAAACGACCACTCAATAAAAAAGGTATAATGCTTAATAAACTCTATAAAAAGTTGAAACACAGCAAGTTGGCACAGACCAACACTTAGGAGAGTGAGGCTGTTTTTCAGTTTTGTGCCAGTCTGAGCTATGTCATGAGACATTGTCTCAAAAAAAACAACCACTTAAAAATTTAATTTCATGTAATTAGTAGTATGTTTTGATAACTACATAATTCACATTGGCTTAGAAACTTAAATGTAAATCATTGCCTTTCATTTGTGCATTAACTTAGGTAGATTTCCATGGGTAGCCCTGTTGGGTTGTTACTGTTCTTTAAAGCATTGCCATTCTTGATTCTTGTTTCCCAGAAATGAATCTTGGTTGTTTTGCTTTTTAGTCTGACATAGTTTGCTTTATTGAATGGCATATTTATGAACTATTTTGTTTATAGATCTTTATACTTCTTTGATCTAAATTTTTATTAAGATTAATTTTGTGTATTCAAATGCTTTGAAAAAATATGGGGCACTGATTTTCATTTGTTCTTTTAGAAACTCAAATGAAAGATCTTGATGTGATCACAATCCCTAGTAAAGATGTTGTGATGGTACATGAACCTAAACAAAAAGTAGATTTAACAAGGTACTTAGAAAACCAAACATTTCGTTTTGATTATGCCTTCGATGACTCAGCTCCTAATGAAATGGTTTACAGGTAGGTAATTTGTTCTAAATTAGAGTGCTGTTTTTATACTGTGTGATCATCACCTTGTTTTCTGCTCTCCAGGAGTGTAGTGGGTTTTTTTTTCTTCTGGATTTAAATGAAGAAAATGTGCTAAATTAAAAATAAGTATTAATACTTGCTCTCTTACTTAGAAAAAAATCATAGTTTTCAGGGCCAGTTAATTAACACATACACATGGATGAGAAATTCTTGGAAAATGTTAATGTAATCTATGGAATGGGATGTAATATAAAAATTTAAAAGTTTTATATTATCATCTTTAATCTGAGTATGGTTTTAATACTTGAGAATCCTATGTTTATGGCTTACAAAATTTAAGCTTTCATGTATTAAATATGTAGACATTGCAAACTTTTATGTCAGTGTTTAATTTTCATAGATCACTTTTTACAAACTTCCTAATTTCTGCTTTTTTTTCCCCTTCTATATTCTTATGGCACTAAGGATCAGACCCAGGGCTTAGATTTGGTAGGCAAGCACCTTGCTACTGAGTTAAACTATATCACTAGTTCTAAACATACTTATTGCTAATGAATTTTACATTGATTTCAGTGTATATTGCTGTTTTATTTTATATAAAACTGAATTTGTAATTGCTTGAAAGTTATGTTTTATTACCCTCTTATTTTGTAAATTCTAAATAGTTTAGAATTAATAAGAATCCTGGTAATTGTGTTACAAAGGAAATGTGAAGACCATTGATTTTTAGCAAGTAAACTGAGTGTTCATCTGTAAAAAAATAATTAAAGAATATATGAATACTGTATATATATAGGGATACTGTGAAGAATTTTTTTTTGGGGGGGGGGTCTGGTTGTGGGGCCTGAACTCTGGGCCTGGTCGCTGTCCCTCAGCTCAAGGCTAGCGCTCTATAGACACTTGAGCCACAGCACCACTTCCGGCTATTTTCTTTTTGCTTATGTGGTGCTGAGGAATCGAACCCAGGGCCTCATGCATTGTAAGGCAAGCGCTCTACCACTGAGTCACCTTCCCAGCCCATGAAGAATATTTTTAAAGGGTATTATAAATTAAACTTTTTTTTTTTCTGGCTCTGGGCCTGAACTCCTGGACCTGGCTGCTGTCTCTTAAGCTTTTGGTGTGCTCAAGGCTAGGGCTTTATCACTTTAGTCACAGCTCTACTTAACAGCTTTTTGTGGTTAGTTGGAAATATGAGTTTCATAACCTTCCTACCTGGGCTGGATTTGAATTGTGATCCTCAGGTCTTAATCTTCTGAGTAGTTAGGATTACAAGTGTGAGCCACTGGTGCCTGTCATATAAATTGTACTTTTTTTAGCTTTCTGTAAAACATTTTTTTCTTCCTCTTCACTCCCTTCTGTTCCATCCTCATTAAAGCCTGTCTTTTTTATCTTTATAATAATTGCCCTATTGTGCTTAACTTTTATGGATTTAGGAAGTATGTACAATTTTGGGGGCTACTCATTTTGCATGTTCATTCCTAGTACTGCTAACTTTCTCCTATGCTTTTTGTTCTATACCTTCTCCAATTTTACATTAAAGAAAATTTAGCAGAACTATATGGTGTTCCATTTGTAGATTTGTTTTCTAGCATACTTTTTAATACTCTGCTTAATGAAGGAGTATTTCTTACTCCTTCCCACTTTTTTTTTTTTGGCTAGGATTCTTTTTGGCTAAGACTCGATCTCTGCAGTGTCCTCAGCTTTTGAACAAAAAAGCTTGTACTCTACCACTTGAGCCATAGTACCACTTCCTGTTTTCTGGTGGTAAGATAAGAGATAAGAGTTTCATGGACTTCCCTGCACAGGATGGCTTTGAACCGCAATCCTCATATCTCAGCCTCCTGAGTAGCTAGGATTACAGGCATGACCCACTGGTACCTGGCTTGGCAATCTTTTTTTTAAACCAGTTCCTCAACTCAGAACTCACTGTCTTTTAGTTTTAACTTTTGTTCCCTTTTCCCCTAGTATAAGCGATTTATCTATATTCAAGGTAATTGTTGTTTTTCTACCTACTTAAGATCTAAGATAACATTTTTATAGGTTTTATCCTTTTTATTCTTTATTGAGATAACCTTGCTTTATTTTATATCATATTTTCATTATTTCTATGACCATTCTTTTATGGAATTATTATTTGAAATTATTTAAATAACTTTAAGTACTTTAAAGATAATTATTTAAAATCTTCCCTTTGTTTTATATGTAAGTTTATCTATTTGGGGAGAAGGTAAGAAGAAGCACAGAAATGGTGGGAAAAAGTGTTAACAGATGGAGCAGTGATACTCACTAGACACTCTATTGGCAATGGATTATACATCTTGGGGAGATAGTGTTTGGAAGGGAAAAATGAGGAAGAGGTGACACTGTTCAAAAAGAAATGTACTCATTACCTGACTTATGTAATTGTAACCTCTGTACATCACCTTTACTATAACAATAAAAAAGTGGATTTTAAAACCCTGCTGTATGCTTTAATTATTAATAAAATATACTTTACATTATTTGATATTATTTTTGTTACTCAACAAATATTTATGACAGTCACATTTTATTTTTAAGGTTTACTGCTAGGCCATTAGTAGAAACTATATTTGAAAGAGGAATGGCTACATGCTTTGCCTATGGACAAACTGGAAGTGGAAAAACCCATGTAAGTAATTACATCTTGGTATCCTGGTATGATGTACCAACTTCTTTTCCCTTTTAAAATACTAAGACCTCGATTCTTAAGATTTATTCCTGCATAACCTCTTTTTTCCCCCTAAATGTAGACTATGGGTGGTGACTTTTCAGGAAAGAACCAGGATTGTTCTAAAGGAATTTATGCATTAGCAGGTAAATGTCCTTTAGCATGTAATTTTTAGTATTTGTTGGATTAGTCGAGTGGTTTTGAAATAAAGCTTTAAAATACTGTCTGGCTATACACATTGTATATTCAATTTGTATGTTATCAGATTGTTACAAAATAACTGTAAAGTTACCTTTTGGTGACAAAAATTTTTATTATACTTGTATGACGTTATTATTAAGCCAGTATAAATTATTGAATAGCTACATTGTAAAAAGCTTTTGGGCTCATGCCTGTAATCTTAGTTGCTCAGGAGGCTGACATCTGAGGATCAAGGTTTGAAGCCATCCTGAGCAGGCAAGTCCTTTGAGATTCTTACTGCTACTACTAAGAAAAAGCCACAAGTGGCACTGTGGCTCAAGTGGGTAGAGTAATAGCCTTTAGCAAAAGGAGTCCAGGGTTAGGTCTCAAAGTTAAAGTTCCAGGAACATAAACAAAAAAAACTTCTGTGGGGTATGGCTCAAGTGTTTAGTGAGTTCAAATCCCAAAACATTTTTTGTTTTTCTTTTTGTCAGTGTGGGGCTTGAACTCATATGGCCTGGCTCCTTTTCCTCAAGGCTATACCACTTTAAGATACAACACACCACTTCTGGCTTTCTGGTGGTTAATTGGATTTTCCTTTCTGGGCTGGCTTTGAACCAGGTCTCAGCTTTGAACTAGATCTCAGTTTCCTGAATAGCATGGATTACAGATGTGAGCCACTGGCATCCCACCCAACAATTTTTAATAAAATAATTAAAAGCCTCTGTTTGATACGGAATGACTTTATTCTGACCACCTATTTATGTTATTTGTAAGAATAAGTAGTAAGAACCTTTTATAAAGCAGAGTAACTTCTGTTGCAGTTTTTTTAATCAAATGAATAGTTGTTATTTTTATAATTGATGCTGTCATGCTAGGTGAAAATTAGCTCCCTTTAAAACTAGAAAAATTAAACTATTGAAAAATAGTAAATAGCTCATTGCATTTTAATAATGTTTGTGTGAATTTTTTGATAGCTCGAGATGTCTTTTTAATGATAAAGAAGCCAAATTATAAGAAACTAGAACTTCAAGTATATGCAACCTTCTTTGAAATCTATAGTGGAAAGGTATGTGGAGACTTAGCAATTTTTTTTTTTTAATTGTAAGAAAAAGGGGGGAGGGGCTGGACATGGTTGTACGTTTCTATAATCCCTGCTACTTTGGAGGTAGAACAGAAGGATCATGGTTCTTAGGCCAACTTGAGCAAAGCCATCAGAGATCTTGTCTCAAAATAAGGCATGCACAGTAATCTCAACTGTTCAGGAGGCTAAGTAAATCATAGTGGAGGCTAGCTCAGCCAAAAGTACTAGGAACATGGATTAAGTGGTTGCACTCTTAGCTAACTAGCTTGAGGCTCTTCCACAAAAGGGGTGGGGGCAGTTAAAATACACATTTTAAACATCTTCAGGTGTGCGGTTCAGCAACATTGAGTATATTCACATTGGTTTCAGTTTTCACTACTATAAATTTTATATGTATTTGCAATATTATTTTATCCTGAGTTTATCCTGAGATTTAAAAAATATCATTTGACAGCCCAGGTAGGAAAGTCTGTAAGACTCTTATCTCCAATAAACTACTCAGAAAAAGACGCAGATGGAGATGTGGCTCAAGTGGTAGACCACTAACCTTGAACATAAAGATGTTCAGGGACAGCACCTAGAGTTGAAGCCCCACGACTGGCAAATAAAAAGAAAAGAAATAATCAGTTGAAGCTCTTAATGTCAAGCACTAATGTAATAATGACCACTCATTTCATCTCAAACAATTTTCAGACTCTTAACCATTTTTGTACAACTGACTTTTTTCTTAAACTAGTTCTAATTTGAATATGGTTTTTCATAGGTATTTGACTTGCTAAATAGGAAAACAAAATTAAGAGTACTAGAAGATGGAAAACAGCAGGTTCAAGTGGTGGGATTACAGGAACGGGAGGTCAAATGTGTGGAAGATGTCCTGAAACTTATTGACATAGGCAACAGCTGCAGGTAAATCTCGAGAGAGGGAAATTTCAGTTAAAGAAACTGTGGCTATAACATAAGAATGAAGCTATAGTTTTCTCCCATGTATTTTGAAATAAACATTGTTTAGCCAGCTGCTAGTAGCGCATACCTATAATCCTAGCTACTCAGAAGATGGAGATCTGAGAATCACTGTTTTTAAAGCTGGCATTGACAGGAAAGTTTGTTAGGCCTTTATCTCTAGTTAATCACCAAAAAAACCTTAAGTAGAGCTGTGGCTCAAGTGGTAGAGTTTTACCCTTGACCACAAAAGCTCAGGGACCAGTGCCCAGGCCCTGAGTTTAAAGCTCAGGATTTGCACATACACAAAAAGTACTGTTCATAAAATCTTTTGTTAAATTGTGACTTGATGTTGCCTATAAATAACGGTATGAATGTATTGGAAGAATGGGAGATTATATACATTTCTTTATCCTTAATAGTTACATTAAGAGTGTCTCTTTTGAATTTAAATAATTAAAACTGGTTAAATTTTAACTGAGTTTTTTGTTGTTGCTTTTTGAATGAGAGTATCATGGTTAATGTGATTCATAGAATTCATATATATCAGGATGTCTTTAATCACTTTGTAGAACATCTGGTCAAACATCTGCAAATGCACATTCATCTCGGAGCCATGCAGTGTTTCAGATTATTCTCAGAAGGAAAGGAAAACTACATGGCAAGTTCTCTCTCATTGATTTGGCTGGAAATGAAAGAGGAGCCGATACTTCCAGTGCAGACAGGCAAACTAGGCTTGAAGGTGCTGAAATTAATAAAAGCCTTTTAGCACTCAAGGTAAATAAAATGTATTTACTCGTGAAAGGTCTTATACTGTTGACTTTTAATTTTGTTTAATGTAAAATAATAGTGCTGCTTTTAACCTACTGAAAAAAAAGTGTTTTCAAAGTCTAGTTATACTTAAGTTTATAGCTTTTATTTATTGTACCTAGAATTTTTCCTTATGCACATCATTCTTTTTAGATGGATAAAGGATAGGTGAGTTTGCAGGCCTATTCTGAGGCTGCCTAGATAGATACTAAAGAGCCATACTTAGTTATGATTTCTTCAGGAAGACAACCACAGAATTGAACTAATAAATAATATCTTAGAAAGCAGTATGGATTGACTTTCAAAAGTGAGGCCAGTTAACTTTACTTTGTCTTTTCCTTTACTGGAAAAGCAAAGGGTGGACGGATTACAATATAAGATGTTCTTTTTTTTTTTTTTTTTTTTTTGGAATGCCACTTTAAAATTTAGGAGTTTACAGTGTCTCTCTATTGCTTGTCACTTTTGAATGCTAGTCATAGTTTTCAGATACATGTTTTGGAATGATGGGAAAGCCTAACCTATAATACCTGCTTTCTTAATTTTCAGGAGTGCATCAGAGCCTTAGGTAGAAATAAACCTCATACTCCTTTCCGAGCAAGTAAACTCACTCAGGTGTTAAGGGATTCATTTATAGGTGAAAACTCGCGTACCTGCATGGTAAGTGAATTTTTGATTTTAGTTTCTTTAATGCTGTATGTATTGTACAATATTTGGAAAATTTAAACCCCCTATTAATTTTAATCGTTTCAGTCCTCTTATTGTGAAAGATAGTGATATTTAAAATGATATGGTCCCTGCCAAACTGATAGAAAGAATTATATTGCAGTGTTGATTCCACTGTCTGAGTGTGTGTGTGTGTGTGTGTGTGTGTGTGTGTGTGTGTGTGTGTGTAAAATGAATACTTTGTAGAGATTCTGTTTTTTCTCCTGGAGATTGGTTTGTTTTGTTTAGCAGACATTAACTCCAAACTTTCCTTTTTTTTTGTTCCATGGTACATGAGCAGCAAATGGAAATATAAAACCTAGCTACTCAGGAGACTGAGATCTGAGGATTGAAGTTCGAAGCCAGCTGGGGCAAGAAAGTCCTTGAGACTTTTGTCTCCAATTAACCATCAAACAGCTAAAAGTGGAGATGTTGCTCAAGTGATAGAGGCTTTCCTTGTGCGAAAAAACTAAGCCCCAGTACTAGCACCAAAAACAAATCATCTCTTTTAGATTTAGCTGTGTTGCATATTGTATTGTGTTGTGTACAGATCCCAGGAGCAGCAAAATAATTAATAAATAAAAATAAAATTAAGTAAGAGGAGGCAGTCAGGGTTGTTCCTTTAAGTGTTTACTTTCATGTATTGCCAGTCTTTTAATGCTTTTCTAATTGTCTTCAGAGTTGCTTATATTCTTAATAGATTTGATAATTATTTGATTAGAGATCAGTTGTTATTAATAAATATTTTAAATAACCTTTGTAAGATAAAACCCAAAGTTATTATTAGTTATATTTATTTTCTCTATTATTTATGGTATTTTAAATTTGCTTTTTTTTCTTTCTCTTAGATTGCTACAATCTCTCCAGGAATGGCATCCTGTGAAAATACACTTAATACATTAAGATATGCAAATAGGTATGAAAGATATTTCTCTAATTAAAAATTTGAAACTAATAAGAGCAGTAATTAGCATGTTTAATATTTAATAGGGCAGTTTGACACTGTTCGTACCTGTGATTTTAGCATCGGGGAAGCTTAGGTGAGAGGATCTCAAGTTTCAGGCCAGCCTGAGGGACATAGTGAGAACTAAACAAAGCATGTGGGTACCAATGGCTAATGTTTTTAACTTTAGTTACTCAGAAGGCCGACACAAGAGGAGTGTGGTTCCAAGCTAACCCAGACAGAAAAGTCATGACACTCTGTCTGCAATTAACCAGCAAAAAAGCTTGCCTTAGAGGTGTGGTTTATGTGGTAGAACAGCCAACAAGCAAACTGGCTAGAGCTAGAAGCCCTGAGTTCAAACCCTGATACTGGCAAAATATAAGTGAAACAAGCAAAACAAACCTGATAGGGTAAACTTTTTCACATTATTTTTTTAATTTTCAAAATAAAATTTTACATGTTACTTAATACTTACACCTGTTTTATAAAGTTGTAAAAAATGAATGAAAATGTTTTATATAATTTGAGAAGAGCCTAGTATCTTTATTTACCTTTATGTCTTAGAACATGATTATGTTTTTGCAAATATGTTTTACTTAAATATATTTATATAATTACATGTGAGGCATGCTAATTCTTATTAAATTAAGACTAAAAGGGGTTTGGTGCTGTTGGCTCATTCCTGCTAATTATAGCTACTCAGAAGCCTGAAATCTTAGGATTGTGGTTCAGAGCTGGCCCATGTAGACTGTGAGACTCTTACTTCCAATTAACCAGAAGTGGTGCTGTTGCTCAAAGTGGTAGAGTGGGTAGCCTTGAGCAAAAGAAGAGCTCAGGGACAGCACCTGGCTGAATTCAAGCCCCAGAACCAACAACAAAAAAAAGACTAAAAGGGGCTGGAGTAAGGTTCAAGTGTAGCTCTTCTACCTAGCAAGCATGAGGCACTGAATTCAATCTCAGTACTGCCAAAGAAAAATTATGATGTAAGTGAACATAGAGGGGCTAATCTGTATTTTGACAAATGATTTTGTTATGTGCTGAAAATTCTTGATATTAACTGCTATATATGGGAAATCTAGAGATTGAGAAAAAAAATTTTAACAGTTTTTCCTGGTCCAAGTTTTTTCTGGTCTAAATGGTTGTCAGCAGTGTTTCCAACTTCAGTAAGCACCTGTGTCATTGATACTATTAAAGTTGGGGTGGGCACATTTATTCCATAAATTTTATTCTACCATTGCTTCTATTATGACATATGACATTCATGATTTTAGAATTTTTGCAACCTATTTCTAGAGTGAAGAATGTCTTTTCTACCAAAATATTTGTCTTATTTCTTCATTTTACTATATAATTTTTATTTTAATGTCCCTTTGCCGGCCTCTCCCCCACCCTTCCCCCACCCCCCCCTACCCCTTTTACGGAGGGCCTGGGCATGTCCCTGAGCTTCTTATGCTCTATGCTAGCACTCTGCCGCTTGAGCCACAGCCCCACTTCTAGCTTTTTCTATTTTTGTGATACTGAGAATTGAACTTAAGGCTTCCTGCTTGCTAGGCAAGTGCTCTACTGCTAAGCTACATTCCTAGCCCCATCTTAAAATTTTTCTTAAAATCTGAAATATATGCACATAAAAAGTAGCTAGAAACATTCAAGAGTACTTGAACTCATATTTACAAAGTGAAAATATTTTTGTCAGAATAGGAAATAGAGTATTATGAGTATTATGAGTCCCTGAAAAATGTTTTCTGTTCCTTCCTGATCTAAATTGTAAATAACTTTCCCAAACCCATTAACTTCTACTCTAACAGACCTCGATTTCAGTAGAATAATTTTATTTTTCTCTTAATAAAAATAGTTCTAATGATGGAAAATATCTTTGAGCAACTTAGATAGCTATGTTTGGATTATACCCTTTGTTATTTAGTATCTTGCTTTTTTGTTTCAACTGAATTTTTTTTTTTTTTTGGTCGGTCCTGGAACTTAAACTCTGGACCTAGGCGCTGTCCCTCAGCTCTTCAGCTCAAGGCTAGTGCTCTACCACTGGAGCCACAGCGCCAGTTCGGTTTTGGTTTATTGGAGATAAGAGTCTCATGGTCTTTCCTGCCCGGGCTGGCTTTGAACTACGATTCTCAGGTCTCAGCCTCATGAGTAGCTAGGATTACAGGCCTGCCTGAGCTGCTGGGCACCCGGCCGAACTGAGGAGATTTTTAATGGTGGTTAACTTTATTGAAAAGTTTAAAACTATTGGGCTAGGAATGTAGCTCAGTGGTAGAGCAGTCACCTAGCATAATTGAGGCCCTGAGTCAGTCTTCAGCCTATAAAACAAAATCTCTTTACAGAAATACAAACTATTGGCCTTTTATAAGAAGGCATTAACTTAAAAAATGTAATGTTACTTCAAAAATGTAATAACTTAATTTTCAAATTTTAATCCCTTTCAAAGTTTGAATTATAAGACCTTTGCTGCAAATTTTTGTTGTTATTCTAGTAGATTTTTGGTATGAAAATCCTGTTCAGGTAGAGCATTTGCTTGAGAGTGCAGGATTCAAATTTTGGAATATTTTCATGTAGTAAATGAGATATTTTGGTGGGCAGGCTCTCAGTCTAAACACAAAATTCATTTATGTTTCATATATATCTTATACACACACTCTGAAGGTAATTTGTTTCTTTTATGTGTTTACATTTTTATTAGCATCACTCATTTGTACTAGGAGATTTAACATGTACACATATATTTACGTTTTACCTTGATCAGACTCCCTTGATCACCCCCTTCATCACTTTTCATTACCTTGATCACCCCCTCCATTAATTACCCCTTCTTCCTAAACCAATCTCAATAAGCTTCATAGTTCATTTTCACATGTGTACAAAACAGTTTGACTATAATAATACCCCTTCTGTTTGTTCTTCCTCCTTCTACTAGTATCCTGTTTTATATACCTTTTAAAAAATAGTATGTGTATGTTAATTGTTCACCATTTCATACGTGCATATGTAATGTTTTAATGAGACTGAAATCTCTTATTTACTTTCTTTACCAATTATCACTTATTTCTGTTATACAATATTTTGATTCACTCATTATAAAAGGTCAGATGTGAAATTTTTATCTGGTCTCATGTAGGCACCCAAAAGCTCTTGAGCTTTTTGGAGCTTTTATATTTCAGTTTTTTGAGTTAGGATATTCAATCTGTATCTGGTTGTTTCTTCTTAGTTCATTTCAGTGTTTTATTGAATACTGTTGCTCATTTGCAATGTAGTAACCATTTGGGACAAATTACTCTGTCTCTGTTTTTCCAAATTTCAAAAGATTTTCTAGGAATAAAGATTTTCATTCTCTAGATAGCTCAGCTAGTGTTTTATAACCTTTAAGAGTCAAATCTATTGTTCTTTTTTTCCTTTTTTTATGTCTGTCCTGGGTTTGAATTCAGGGCTTGAGCACTGTCCTTGAGCTTTTTTTTGCTCAAGGTTAGTGTTACACACTTTACCCATAGCTCAACTTGTAGCTTTTTGGTTAATTGAAGATAAGAGTCTTATGAGTGCTGGGAAGTTGGCTCAGTGGTAGAGCGCTTGCCTGGCATGCCTGAGGCCCTGGGTTCGATTCCTCAGCACCACATAAGCAAAAAGAAAAAAAAGCCGCAAGTGGTGCTGTGGCTCAAGTGGTAGAGCGCTAGCCTTGAGCTGAAGAGCTGAGGGACAGCGCCCAGGCCCAGAGTTCAGGCCTCACTACCGGACCCCCTCCCCCCCCCAAAAAAAAGTCTTATGGACTTTCCTGCCTGGGCTGGCTTCAAATCACAATCTTGAGATCTCAGCCTCTTTAGTAGCTAGGGTTATAGGAGTGAGCCATTGGCCCCTGACTACACTTACTGTTTTTGCAGGCAAAGAGAACTTATTTGTCTTTAAAATTAAGTGTGCCTTAAGATATTTTTAAAAGGTGAAATATTTATATGATCTGAAGAACAATCAGTATTGCCTTACATTAATTCCCCTATTTTTAGGAACTTGTTAATCTTGCATTTTTTCTTCGCCTTTCATGGCTTAGCGTAGAGATTCAGGAGTGTTGGATCTCAAGAAAAAAAAAAATGGGTTTCATGCCTGCTCATGACCTATGGTAGCAAAGCCTCTATGTGTTCTGACCTCATTGTCTCTCATAAAGGATTGATTTAAGAACTGAGATAGGTAATGTATGTAAATTATTATTCTGTCTGCTACTTTATGAGCATTTCTGTTTTCAGTAATATTCAAGGAAAATGGTTTTACACTTCATTGTGGGAATTGAGGGATAGTTTGTAACAGTACACTGATGCTAAGTGATCAAGGTGAAGATAAATCCAGTTGCAGTTCTCTCACAAAATTTGATATGCAGAGGATAGTATAGTAAAAGGAGTGGCTGTCCTTGAACTATGCAGGACAAATGAGAAACAAGAGTTGTCTCTTTCTGAAGCAGAAAGAACATTCTGCTTAATAGAAAAATTGGAGTGATTGGGTCTTGGTTGAAACAGTAATTAAGAGTTTTTAAGAGGGGCTGGGAATATGGTTTAGTGGTAGAGTGCTTGCCTAGCATGCATAAAACTCTGGGTTCAATTCCTCAGTACCACATAAACAGAAGAAAGCCAGAAGTGGTGCTGTGGCACAAGTGGTAGAGTGCTAGCCTTGAGCAAAGCAAGCTCAGAGACAATGTCCAGGACCTAAGTTCAAGTCCCAGGATTGGCAAAAAAAGAGTTTTAATTTAAGAGTAATATTTGAGGAGCTGGGAAGGTGGCTCAGTGGTAGAGCGCTTGCCTTGCATGCTCGAGGCCCTGGGTTCGATTCCTCAGCACCACATAAGCAAAAAGAAAAAAGCCGGAAGTGGCGCTGTGGCTCAAGTGGTAGAGCGCTAGCCTTGAGCTGAAGAGCTGAGGGACAGTGCCCAGGCCCGGAGTTCAGGCCCCACGACCGGACCAAAAAACAAAACAAAGAGTAATACTTGAGCCAAGTGCTGGTGGCTCATGCCTATAATCCTAGCTACTCAAGAGGCTGAGATATGAGGATCATGGTTCAAAGCCAGCCCAGGCAGGAAAGTCTATAAGAATACTCTTACCTCTAGTTAACCACCAGGAAACTGGAAGTAGTACTGTGGCTCAAGTGCCTTGAGCTGAAGAGCTCAGGAACAGCGCTCAGGCCCAGAGTTCAAGAAGCCCCACGACCGACAAAATAATAATAATATTTGAGAATTATGATTCCTGTAAGTAGTAACATTTGGTTTGGGAAGGAAGGTATAAGACAAGGGAAAAATTGTTCATGAGGTTAATGGGTGTTCAAGTTAAATTCTCAAGCAGATGAGAAATGAGCTTTGGAGTAAAAAAGAATAAAGTGAACTTGCCAGCATGTGTGGCAAATACATTTCAAAAAAACTAAAAAATTAAAAAGACCTGAATCTGCTGGGGCGCCAGTGGCTCATAAAAATTCTAGCTACTCAGGTGGCTGGGATCTGTACTACTTGAGCCATAGTGCCACGTCTGGTTTTTGGGTGATTAACTGAAGATAAAAGTCGCAACGGGACTGTAGGGGCTGGCTCTGAACCTCTATTCTTAGATCCCAGCCTCCTGAGTAGCTAGGAATAAAAGCATGAGCCACTGGCGCCCCAGCAGATTGAGGTTTGTTTGTTTGTTTTTGGTTTTTGTTGTTGTTATTGTTGTTGGTCATGGGGCTTGAACTCTGGGCCTGGCCACTGTCCCTGACCTCTTCAGCTCAAGGTGAATGCTTTCCCACTTGAGTCACAGTGCTACTTCCAGTTTTCTGCCTGTACTGGCTTTGAACAGTGATGCTTAGATCTCGGCCTCCTGAGTAGCTAGGATTACAGGCGTGAGCCACTGGTGCCCAGCACAAGATTCAGGTTTTTCAAGTAGGGGATCCATAGGATGAAGCAACTCAAAAACTTCTTAGTATGGACTATTTGTTTAAAAATAATCTAAATACATGATTATAGCAGTGGTGTGAAACCCTTTTGGATTGAAATCCTTTTTGAAACAAAATAGTACTAATTAAAAACTTGAAATGTGCATTGCCAACTTCACAAGAACATTTCCTTTTCATTTGTTGCTGTTTTGGTACTGCAGAGTAAAGGAGTTTGGAATTAGTCCATCAGACATTCCCTTCTCACAGGGTAGTGGCAATCGCCCTGATCTCTCTCCTTCTTATGAATATGACGACTTTTCTCCTTCGATTACCAGGTCTAGTTCATTCTATACGTAACATGTTTAATAGTTTCTTTTGAGTTGTCTATGGATAAAACATTTTATTTGCTGCTTTTGTCCTGAGCCATTTTATTTTTTATTTTCATTTCATTTGGCAGGTGGTGGTTGTATTGCATGATCTACATTTTTATGTCCTTTATTCATTTGCTTTAAAATGTTGATTTAGAATTTGGGCTTCATTTTTTAAAGGATGATGTCACTTTCATATATTTGCCACTAACTGCTAAATTGTTTTGCTTAAAATGAAGAATTTAAGCTTTAGAATCTTGTATTTCCTTCTCTACAAGAAAATAACAAGAATCCTCTTGATTTAGAGGATAACCTTTTCCAAATGTGTATATTCAAGCATGATGAGCAAGCATTTAAAAAGAACAGAAATTAAAATTTTATAGTATTTGTACATTAGAAACAAAAGGGTTTCCTATTTAGCTATCTTAATATTGAACATTGTGACTATCAGAAGTTTGGTAAATGGAAGTTTCCCAAATTACAGATTTTAACATGACCAATTTGTGCATCTAAATGCTATTTTAAATGCTTTGCCATAATGCTTTGCAGTAATAACATTTCTTTTGAATATATATACTTAGTGCTAATTTTTACTTATTTTATTCAATTCAACTTGAAGTTATTGTAAAATTTCTTCTTAAACTTTTTGAATTAAACAACCACAGATGTTTCCACGCATTTCAGATAAATTTGACCACAAAGGTGACATCATCAGTTTTAGTTTGTGAATTGTTTTTATATTGATGAAGGGTTTTTTTTTGTGTTTCTCTTAATGGGTCTTTCTTAATCTTAGATGCTTATATTTATAGGGTGAAAGAACTGACAGTAGATCCTTCTGCTGCTGGTGATGTCCGTCCCATAATGCACCATCCACCAAACCAGATTGATGATTTAGAGACACAGTGGGGTGTGGGAAGCTCCCCTCAGAGGGATGATCTAAAACTTCTTTGTGAACAAAATGTGAGTGACTGAATAGTAACTGATGTAAGTTTGTTAAAATCAATGGCAGAATGTAATTATAAACCTTCACCTAAAGCAGGGCAAGCACAAACAAAACACTTTCAGTGATGTAGTTAAGCTTTCTGTGTGAATTGTAATCCTGGCATTTTCTCATGACAAATTTACTAGCTACTTACTAGAGGGCATGCATTTTTGATAGACATTTTACTTAGGTTTTTCGTTTGTTTTGTTTTTTGGGGGGGGTCCTGTCGTGAGGCCTGAACTCTGGGCCTGGGTGCTGTCCCTCAGCTCTTCAGCTCAAGGCTAGCGCTCTACCACTTGAGCCACAGTGCCACTTGCGGCTTTTTTTTCTACTTATGTGGTGCTGAGGAATCAAACCCAGGGCCTCATGCATGCACGGCAAGTGCTTTACCACTGAGCCACCTTCCCAGCCCTTACTTAGTTATTTTTTAGTTGTCTTATTTAATCCTAACAACTCATTGTGGTAAGGGCTATAATTATCCCTACTTTCAGGTTGATATTTGAAGAGGTTTAATCATCGGGGCCAAGATTAGGCCCATGTCAGAATCTTAGATCTGTATGCCATAGCCAAATTCTATCAAGTTAAGCTTCCTGTCCTCTGAAATATAATAATAGTCTTACAACAAGGTAACTCTTAGGTTTTAATTTTTTAATTTTTTATTATTTTTTGTCGGTTGTGGGTCTTGAACTCTGGGCCTGGCGCTGGCTATCAGCTCTTCAGCTCAAGGCAAGGGCTCTACCATGTGAGCCACAGTGCTGCTTCTGGTTTTCTGAGTGGTTTATTGGAGATTAGAGTCTCATCGACTTTCCTGCCCAAGCTGGCTTTGAACTGTGATCCTCAGATCTCAGCCTCCTGAGTAGCTTGGATTACAGGCATGAGCCACCAGTGCCCAACTTATTCTAATATTTTTAGTAGATGTTAAGTCTAAAATATTCTAAAGTAACATGAAAATGCTACTTTTTGTTACCATACCACTCTCCATTACCAAATCTGGGCTGACAGCAGCACTATAGCTGACAAAAATGATTTGACCTGCCCAGGACAGAATGTGTGGTCATATTATTTGGCTATCACAAGTGGGATGATGCTGCTGGCATCTAATGGGTAGTGCATAATACATTGTACAGGACACAGCCCCTTACTCTAGTCCCTAAATATGTCAGTAGTTCCAAGGTTAAGAAAACCTGGGTTAAAGAGAGTTCTGCACTTTGAACTTTAGAAAGTAACACTCAAAAATGAGATCCTCACCAAAATCCATCTGCTCCAGAAGTTTTGAAAAGACTGCACTTGTACTTTGAGTGCATAAAACAATCCTTGCATTGTACCTAGATCTGGTATCTCCCAAAGACAAAGTCAGATTAAGACAGACACTTCCTATAGGGTATCTTTTTTTGCGTTTTATTCTTGTATTTGTTGAGCCATTAGGTTGACTATGTGGCCAGAAGTAATCCAGGGCTTTTACATAGCATCACAGATTTTTACACTGTGTTTTACACTATGTATTTCTTTTTACTTTTCTTACCTCCTGGGATGATCCCGAATCACCCTGTAGTTAAGTACTGATGCAGGTGTATATATTCTTCTTTAATATTATGTTTTAACAAGCTAGATTAAAATGGAATAGAACTGAAGATATTCCTGGGTTTTTTTTGTCGGTCATGGGGCTTGAACTCTGGGACTGGACACTGTCCCTCAGCTCTTCAGCTCAAGGCAAGCACTCTACTGCTTGAGCTACAGCGCCACTTCCAGTTTTCTAGTGGTTTATTGGAGATAAGAGTCTTATAGACTTTCCTGCCTGGGGCTGGCTTTGAACCATGATCCTCAGATCTCAGCCTCCTGAGTAGCTAGGATTACAGGCGTGAGCCACCGGTGCCCTGCCTGTTTTTTTTTTTGTTTTTACTCAAATTTTACAAAAAAATTAAGCATACGTTTATATTATTTTTATTTTATTTTTTTGGTTGGTCGTGGGGCCTGAACTCAGCCTGGTCTCTGTCCCTCAGCTCTTCAGCTCAAGGCTAGCGCTCTACCACTTGAGTCACAGCACCACTTCTGGCTTTTTCTGCATATGTGTTGCTGAGGAATCAAACCCAGGGCCTCATGCATTTAAGGGAAACCCTCTACTACTGAGCCACTTTCCCAGCCCAGAGACTGTGTGTCTTAAAACAAAAAAATTTTTTTCTATAAAAATCAGTAAGTAGCCAGGTGTTCATGTCTATAATCCTTTGTACTCAGGAGGCTGAGATCAAGATTTGAAGCCATCCAGGACAGAAAAGTCCATGAGACTTATCTCCAGTTAACTACCAGAAGGCCAGAAGTAGAGCTCTGGGTCAAGTGATACAGCTCTAGCCTTGAGCAAAAATCTCAGGGACAGCACACAGGTCCTGAATTCAAGTTGTAGGACTTGCTTGCAGTGGTCATGCATGTGTATGTGTGCACGCACACACACAATTAGTAAACAAACTGTATAGTGTAAATGAAAATTAATGACAGTACAAGTTGAGTCTGGTAATTTTCTTGAAGGACATAATGTGTCTACCATCTAAAGATGTCTTTATATCTCATTTAAGAAATATAAACTCAGCTTGGCAGTATATAATCCCAGCAGTCATGAGGATAACATGTTTGAGGCCTACCTGGGCTACATACAAGATCCTTTTTTAGAACAAGAACATTTTAAAGTCTGGTATTGCAATGTATACTTATTTCATGCCATCATAAAGTCACCAAATTATGAGCTAAACTGTCCCTAAGTCAGAGAATTATATATGTAGATAAACCAAATTGTTAATGATAAGAAATAATACAGCTGGGCAATTGTCAATGTGACTCACTCCTGTAATCCTAGCTATTGAGGAGGCTAAGAACTGAGAATCATCGTTCAAAACCATTTGGGACAAACAAATCCAATACTCTTACCTTCAGTTAATCAGCAAAAAGCTGGAAGTGGTAGAGTACCAGCATTGAGCGAAAAAGCAATTGCATGAGGCCTTGAGTTCAAGCCCCTATACCAAGTCTCTCTCACACTTGCATACACAGAGATACTCAGTCACCAATGAGTATTAAGGAAATACACACAACTATATACAAATCAGTACTAATGAAATATTTCGACGTGTTTATGACAAATTTATATTGGCCTATTCATACAGAGATTGCTTTTTTAGAGTAATTTTGCAGTAAAGCCTAGGCTAAGTGAAAATTATTATTATTCATGATGTCATTATAAGGTTATCTCTAGTAACGTTTTCTTAACTGAGAATTACATTATTTTGATCTGTAGAAAGACATTGTGCCTTTTTCATGTTGTGTATTTTAATAATCTTCACCTTTCCAACTTTATTATTTTGAATAATAACTTAAATGTCACTGAAAAATCTACTATAAGAGCTCAGTGGCAGAATGTCTGCAGCATGTACAGCCCCAGGGTCACTCTCCAGAATCAAAACTAACAAAAAGATCCTTTTATAACATTTAAATAATAAGCTGTCAAAATTTATTCTATTTTAAGGAAGAAGAAGTTTCTCCACAATTGTTTACTTTCCATGAAGCTGTCTCCCAAATGGTAGAAATGGAAGAACAGGTTGTAGAAGATCACAGGGCAGTGTTCCAGGTAAGTTTGAAATAACCTTTCCTCAAAATATTTCTTGACTATCTATGGTCTAAAATTTCCATAAATCTCTGACTGTAACACAGGTCTTAGAACATACTTGCTGGCATTTATGTATATATAGTGTATTTGTAGAACATGCGATAGCAGTTTTTTCCCCCCATAGGATGTTTGCTTAAAGTATGACCAGTGTCTTCATTTTTCATCATATGAAAAGATCTATCAGCTAACTTTCTGTCCCCTGCCCCTTTTTTTTTGTCAGTTGTCCAATTAATTCCAAAATGAGTTTCAACGGTGACAAAACCATATTCAAACTGAAGCAGACCCCATTGGATATGTTAATTCCGGGTGGCTTCTAAATTCTAGGCTCCCATAGTTCCCATCATGCTCAGTATTTTATTTTGTCCATTCTTACCTTATTCTAGAGACAGCTGTTGAGGTTGTGACAGTGTTTAATATTTATGTGTTGGTTAATTCCCTCCATAAAATTGTCACCCAAGGTAGAATAAAAGAGAAGTGAAGCCAGGTGCTGGTGGCTCACTCCTGTAATCCTAGCTTCTCAGGAGGCTGAGATCTGAGGATCACGATTCAAAGCCAGCCCGGGCAGGAAAGACCTTGAGACTCCTATCTCCATTAAACCACTAGAAAACCAGAAGTGTTGGTGTAGCTCAAGGGGTAGAGCGCTAGCCTTGAGCTGAAGAGCTGAGGGACAGCACCCAGGCCCAGAGCTCAAGCCCATGACCGACAAAAAAAAATAGAGAGAGAGAGAAATGAATCATCTTGTTCATTGAGTTTGAACTTAAGGAAAGATTTTTTACAATTTTGCTATCAGTAAAAATGTTTTATGCTTATTAATATTTTAGATAATATTTTATGTATGTTTCATTACATTTAACAGAATTGGTAAACTGGTATGGTATGTTTTACAGAGACATACTTGATCATTGAATTTTTATTTTTAGGAATCAATTCGCTGGTTAGAGGATGAAAAGGCCCTTCTAGAGATGACTGAAGAAGTAGACTATGATGTGGATTCATATGCTACGCAACTTGAAGCTATTCTTGAGCAAAAAATTGATATTTTGACTGAACTGCGGGGTAATTTTTTTTTCATTTTAATGTGCTTGGTACAAATCTGCTTGCCCATGATGTGTATTTAGTGGGAAATTTTTTTTTTTTTTTTGGGTCCAGTCGTGGGGCCTGAACTCTGGGCCTGGGCGCTGTCCCTCAGCTCTTCAGCTCAAGGCTAGCGCTCTACCACTTGAGCCACAGCACCACTTCCGGCTTTTTTCTTTTTGCTCATGTGGTGCTGAGGAATCGAACCCAGGGCCTCAGGCATGCAAGGCAAGCACTCTACCACTGAGCTACCTTTCCAGCCCCTTAGTGGGAAATTTTTATATTGCAAGAGGATTTCTAACATAATTTCCCATTCTCTCATCACATTTTCTTTCATCTAGAAATTACATTCTAATATTCTTTTTCTTGATTATAGCATTCAGCTTTGACTTCCATTTTCTTAGATTTCATGAATTAGAACCCATAACTTAGAAGAGATTACTAACTACATATTGCATTTATCACTCTAAAAGTTTAACTGTCTAGATAATTTGGATTAATATGTTTGAGAACTATTAGCAAGCATCAGCTCTAGAATTTTAAACTGTCTTTTAAAATGCACGTGCTTAAAAAAGATGGTGTAAGAATGGGGAATAGGATTTTCTTAATACTGAGAGAAGAAATACCTGTTATTGTTCTTTTTTAAGTACAAATATATGGGGTGTAGAGGTTCTGATTCAGACCAAGTGCGTGCGTGTGTACGTGTGTAAAGAATCTCCTACCTATCCTAGAAAACACTGGAAAAGGTATCTAGCAGAAACCAGTGGTAACATCTAGAAAAGTCAGCTTCTCTTATAATAAAACTTGAATATTGTAAAAATTGAACATTGTATATAGTTCTCAGGTTCTACATGAACAAAGGAAACAATCGTTACTGTTAGGAAATGAGAATATTAACTTTGAATAGAATCAATAATTTTATACTACACTGCATCTAAATCAAAACTTTCGTTTTGTTTTCTTTCTCCAAGATAAAGTGAAATCTTTTCGTGCAGCTCTACAAGAAGAAGAACAAGCTAGCAAGCAGATAAATCCGAAAAGACCCCGTGCCCTTTAAATTGGAATTTGCTGCTAAAGGACCCCCAGAACCCTTGCAGCTGTAACAGTGGTTCAGCTGTAAGGGTCATTTGAGTGTTTGAAATTTCCAGTGTCTGTGGAAAATGTCTTGTCTTTTACCTGAATGACATTTCAATTTTGTGAAACATTTTTTGTCTACAAAATGCTTCTAGTCCAGGAGATACATCCAAGAATTGGGATTAGTGAAGTATTTTGTTTCATTTACCCATATAGTGATTTACTTTTGGAGATCTTTGCCAACGTTATTTTCTATTTGATGAAGTAAGTTTGTGGACGATCCAGAGGTGGAGAGTAGAAGGAAGCCACAGCATTTCCTATTAACTCAGTTCAATTTCGTACCGAGACTGAACAGTTTTAAGTACTTTGCGTGCATGCATACCTCATCTGTGATTGTACATACCTTGCCTAATTCCTAGAGACAGCTGTGCTCACTTCTTGCTCTGTGCCTTGACCAAGGCTATTGACCCTAAGTTTCTTAAACACAGCCAAGATAAATTACATTCCTTATTTGTCATTGTAAATTACCTTTATTGTGTGTACATTTTTACTGTATTTGAGACTTTTTTTGTGTGTGACTAGTTAATTTTGCAGGATGTGCCATATCATTGAACGGAACTAAAGTCTGTGACAGTGGACATAGCTGCTGAACCATTCCATCTTATATGTAAAGAAATCTGGAATTATGATTTTTAAAACCATATAACATGTGATCATAATTTTCTTAGCATTTTCTTTGTAAAGAACTAAAATATATACTAGTTGGTGTATAATAAAAAGTAACGAAATTCTGAGAAGAGTTTTATCTTAGGATAATACATATATATGCAGTGTGTGTGCCAGTGTGATATTAAAATGACTAATAGTGCAATTTGATCTTTACCAATACCATTATTTAAGTTCAAGTGTTCACTAGCACCCCCAAATTTACCTATTTAATGTGCTGTTAAAAGGAAATTGGCTTCTGATGCATGAACATTTAAATGTACATTGAAAGTAGTCCGTAATAGAAGTTAGTTTAAACCAAGTATAGGCAGTATATAACTCCCTTGGAAAAGAATAGAAAGAATTGGTGTTGCCTTGAAAGGCAGGTCTCATCCAAACTCCATCTGGTACCTAATGTGTGATGTTTCACCATTATTTGTGAGAATAACTGCATTCTTACCAGTATACTGGTAGGCTACTCTTTAAATGGTAGCACTTATTTTTACAAATTGCTGAGGAAGAAAACTGGCCATTCTTCATGTAAATATTTGTGTTTAAAAATTTAATATATCTCTAGGAGTTTTCCTTGGTTCCCATGATGCAGTCCAGGAGTTGATTATTGACAAAGTCTCCCAAGGATATCTTGTTTTGATTTACTCTAAGGAACTCTTAGCTCATTCGTAAACCAAAGGGAAACTATGATTAGAGTCACATGAGCCAGATTCTCTACTTCACTGGTCAAGAACTCAGAAGTAGCTGTGAGAATTCTTAATACCATGGTGAAAAGCTCTGTAAACATGAAATCTAAAACAAATGTAGATTTTTCATAATGATTATTAATAAAATCTATGGACTGAGTTTACATAATTTACTTCAATACAGTCACCTTTATTTTGGAAGAAACTCAGGTTTTCTTGTAGTCAAGATATATTCTATTTGTGTTTATTGCAAAAACAAAAGGAAGAATGGAGGACTTTGTATTGATCTTGTAAAGGCTGTATGAAAAGGTAATTCTTGAGATAGATCTTCAAAGGGTAGTAAAGGACTTGTTAAATTGCTCATTTTAAGCACAACGGATTAGCTTTGTGTTTGACGGGCACTATCTTTGGAAGGTGTTGTTTTAGATATGCATGCTGCTGAAGACTATGGTGGTGGAACAGTAGACCAGTCATTTGAAAAATCTGTACCAGAAAAAAATCTTGAGAGGAAGTGTAATAATAGTCCTTGAGCTTTTATATAGGGGGAAACTGAAGGCCAGAAAAGAGACTGAAGCTTATTTTTAGGGGAAAGGAAAATGACCTTACAAAGTAGAAATGAATCTTAAACCCTTAAGATAGTTAATTCTATGGATAAAACATTCTTTTGTACTTTCTCAGCTTTGAAAACTGATGTCTGTTAAGAAGTAATTAGCATTTACTATGAGTTGGAAACCAGATTTCAAAGGCAAAAAGTTTAGGCAAACAGCATCTTCCTTTTTAACTTTACTCTGTATACTTTTGCTAAAGTAATTGGAAATATCCCTATATTAAGCTTTAGGTATAAAGAAAGTTATGTGAAGATACCACCAATGAAGATATTTTAATTTTCTTATATAAATGAAATAGTGCATTCAGCATGTAGTAGTATATTTATTTAAATGTAGTAGCTAATAAAAGTTGACACTTACTAAATAAGCATCTGTACTGGAAATTTTAATTATCCAGAAGTTATAAATATCAGAGAACTCAAGCTGAGAAAAATTGCTGAAAAACCTAATTGTCTTGCAAAACCCTTTGAAACTTTTCTAATTAGCAAATGAGTTTCCCCAAGAAAGGACATATGTCATTAGTCAACTTCATTTTAGTTTTGTTCATGTTATATGTAAGAGATCATAATCAGCATGAGTGACACGTCACGCGATGGCAGCAGGGCTTTCCCACAGCCCTCAAGGTAGTCTGAGCTCTTACAGGACAGATGAAGAGGGAAGCAATCAAGAAACTACTGGGGAAAACGAGAACAAAAAACATTAAAAATTTTTATTGTACATGTAAGAAATGATACAGGAATATATGGTTATTTGAACCTATTTTAATGTAAGGGAATGAGTGGAAGGCCTAAAGAGGGACTCAAAGTATATAAGAGGGACTCATAGTATATAAACAGTAAATAGAAGGTAATATCTTTATATGATGAACTGTATGAAACATTGATTGTGCGTATCTGCGGCTCTTGAGCTTGGGATATGTGCAGTATACTCAAAACCAAAAGAACTTGATACAGCTGACTGCCTTAAAATATGCAGAATAATCAGTGATACAACAGTGATTTTAAATGAAAAGCACTTAAGCCCAGTGCAGTGGAGTACTTAGTAGTTTCATCAAGAAGTTTTCCAAGTAGCTATGAAAAGTGGATACCTTCTGAATTGAATCCATGTAGCAATCTGGAAGAAAAAGCCAAGAGGGGTTGGTATTGAAAAGCTAATTTGTGTCACGTAAAGACTTGTGCTGTCAATCCTAATATAAAGATATGTTAGTATACTCAAGAACTCACCTAACACAATTAAAGAAATCCTATTTTCCAAATACATTCATAAGATATATCTTAGCTAAAATGAAGTCATGCTGGTATCCGCTTTGTCATAGCCTAGGCAGTGGGCTTGAATGAAATTATCTTTAATTTGGTCAGGCCTCATACCTACTGACATGTCACCAAACTACTCTGAGGAAATGTAGTAAGAATAAATACTTCCCTTTAGACCTGAAATAATTTTCAGGCTGCTTTACCGGAGGAGGGCCAGAAGTGTTAAGTTCTTAGAACACAGATGCTTTAAAACTGGCTAAAGAACTTTTTCATGAGCAAAAAACGGTACAAGTTGCCGGGTGCCTGTGGCTCATGCCTGTAATCCTAGCTACTCAGGAGGCTGAGATCTGAGGATCACGGTTCAAAGCCAGCCGGGATAGGAAAGTGTGAGATTTATCTCCAATAAACCACTCAGAAAACCGAAGTGGCGCTGTGGTTCAAGTGGTAGAGTGCTCGCCTTGAGCTGAAGAGCACAGGGACAGTGCCCAAGCCCAGAGTTCAAGCCCCAGGACTGATCAAGAAAAAAAAAAAAGGTAACATTCCAGTAATAACTGAAGCCTATTTTCATAGTACTTGGCTTAGTAAAGAAAGCAAATTTAGTCTAAATTGCACAGATGACACCTTCTCAAGATCTGTAGAATATGCTGGGTACCATGGGTACCAGTGGCTCACACCAGTAATCCTAGCTCTTGAGGCTGCAACAGGATACAGTTTAAAGAGAAAAAAAATTTCAAGCTTAATATTAACAGTAAAGGCTTGTATGGGCAGGTGTACATACAAGCTGTATCAGGAAGTATGAATAAGGTTACTGTTTAGGCCAGCCCAGGTAAAAAATGAGAGCCTGTGGTAAGAAAACCAGAACAAAAAGGGCTGCAGGTATGGCTCCAGTAATAGTGCAGCTGCTTAAGAACAACAAATCCTCAAATTCAATTGCTAGTACTCCCCCACCCCCAAAAAGTATACCTTCCCTCAGGTTACAAAACTATCACAAAATAGTCAAGCATATTACAAATTAAATTTCATGCTTACGATATATTTAATGAGGACTAGAAATGTGGTTCAGGTTAAGAGTACAAGCTGTACCTTATGAGGCTACTTTAAAGATATGAATGAATGGGGGTTAGGGAGAAAAGGGAGGAAACACATGAGAACACAAATTAATAGGCAATCTATGGCTCTGACTGTTCTTTACTACTGTACTTTAAAGAAAAATGTTCATTCTGCTGCAGCTAACTAGCCTCCATTTTCTGCACCAAATATTATTCCATGCCATGGAAGTGCTATGCAATAATCCTCTCAAGTAGCACCTTACACCTCTTATCTGAAGGTATCACAGTAGATATGTAAATAGGAAGACAAAAATGTACTTACTTGATAAAGTCATCTATATCCATGGAACGGGCCCGTTTGTCACTAAAACCTGTGCTGGTTAGGATTTGCTGTATTTTATCTGCTATGCTGAAATCTTCCGGTATTATCTATCAAATAAGATTCAGAATAAATGAACAACATATCTTTAATGAAGTTACCTTGGCTCTTTTTATTTTTTTAGTTCAGTATAGTCATTTTTAATCTATCTTAATTATTGCTGAGAAAGCTTAACAGTTTAGATAAGGCTTGGATCTCAAATGGCTGAGGTACCCTGACTAAGTAATCACATACATTGCCCTTTTCCATTTTTAAAATTCTGAAATAGTTTGACATCACAAGTAAAATTAAGTTGTAAACTAAGTGCACCTGTTATCCTTTCAAAACTCACTTTTTCTGGCCACAATTTTATGTAACCTTAAGAAATAATTGTTTTACAGCTGATTCATGTCTTCCACAATCTTATGTAACCAGAGTCCCAATTCATGTCTTTTCCCCAAAGAAGTTTCTCTTCAGGTAAATTTTTATATTTTTCACAATATTTTCACATTTCAGTTGTTTTTGAAAGTTTTCAAATTCACAATGTGGTTTCTGCCTTTTAAAGCAGAATACTCTAAAAATCAATTCATCCCTAAAATGTAATTTTTTTCCAATTGTAAGAAGTTTGAAACATACTCAAAAGTAAAAACATCCTATAAGAAAATCCCATGAACAGCCAGCCTCAATGATTCATTTTCATCTTGTTTCATCTGATACTCCCTACTTCCCTTCAGATTTTAAAGACTCACTTTGTTTATGCTGAGATAGATGATCATCCCAAAGATTCTTTTTTGCTAGACCAGGGGCTTGAACCATCTGGGCCTGGGCATTGTCTCTGAGCTTCTTTTGCACAACGCCACTTCCGGCTTTGAGGAATTTATAGGCTATGAGTCTCATGGATTTTACTGCCTCAGCTGGTTTCGAACCATGACCCTCAGATCTCAGCCCAAGTAGTAGTACAGGTGTGAGCCCCTGATGCCCTGCTCGTTTTTCTTTTTTGCCAGTCCTAGGGGTTGAGCTTGGACTTGGTTTTTACTCAAGGCTACTCTTTCAAGCTTGTTTACTCAAGCTCTACTTGAGCCACTGCTCCACTTTGGCCTCCCTCCCCCTCTCCCCCGGGCAGTTACTGGAGATAATGGTCTCACAGACATTCCTTCTCTGGCTGGTTTTGAACCAAGACCCCCATATCTCAGCTTCCTGAGAAAGATTACAGGAATGAATTATAGGGATGAGCCACCAGTGCCCAAAGATTTTTCTTAAGTTTAGTAATTTTTCTGCTTAGGCCAATATTTAATGATTTTGGCTGATTATAGAAAGAATAGAGGTAATATGTTAAATCATACTAGATGTGAGCCATAAAAAAATACAAAGGACTTTTTCTTTGCTTTTGTAAACTGAAGGAGCTAAAACATTAAAAAATGCCATCTAGCTGGTGCTGGTGGCTCATGCCTGTAATCCTAGCTACTCAGGAGGCTGAGATCTGAGGATCACGGTATCTCCAATAAATCACTAGAAAACGAAGTGGCTCAAGCGGTAGAGCACTCGCCTTGAGCTGAAGAGGTGAGGGACAGTGCCCAGGCCCAGAGTTCAAGCCCCACGACCGACAAAAAAAAAAAAAAGATGCCATCTATATCTGCATGTGTTCATAAACACTGGCATACTAATTCTTTAAAGGAAATTGTGGAGACATAAGGCTCACTCCATGCTTTATTCTGATAAAGGTATAAAGGAAACAGTAACTTTGTAACTCCCATTTCCTTCATGGGGAGTAGGAAACATTTCTTTTTTTCCATATCTCCCTACTTTATAATCCTGTTACACGAAAGTAAACCCTTAATAAAACTTGTGATTGTTACACGAGCAAGAAACAAGGGAAGATCATGATTTTAGAGATAGCAAATCATACACTATTATTTTAAGTTGAGCAGGTTACATATCAACTTTGCAGAAATTTCAACTTGGTTAAATGTAATTCTTGCTAAGATAGTAACAATGTCAGAAACATGAAATTCTAAAAAAATACCACTAACAACAACAAATTCTACTTACAATATTATGGAGTGAACAGTGAATTCTGTAGTTTTTTTCCAATAGCTGTTGGACTGCACTGGATCTAGAAGGAAGTGATAAAAGTATTCCAAAATCAGATCAGACATAATTTTACATCATTGTTTCAATTTAAACAAAACTCTTGTTTCATTTAGTGAAATTAAAGGAATTTTCTAAAGCACTGAATATTTAAACTTAGAAAACAAGTACTACTTAGAAAAGTTTTGATAAACATCTTTTAAATTGTTTTCTTAAAGAACAGGATCTAATCAAATTCCACATGCTGTATTGTTTGTTGCTTCTTTTTTTTTAAAGACAGGTTCTCACTATGTTGTCTATGAATGGCTCCAATGATTTTCCTGCCTCAGATTCCCGAGTAGCTGGGTATATTAGGCATATAGTACTATCCTCTAGCCTGCCTTTGTAAATTCTAAAGAGAAGCTGTAATGGTGGTGTTAGGCTCTTCACAAAACATTCCATTTATTTAAAACAAGAAGACAAAACTTCAATACTTGTACATCTTGCTTCTTTTTACCTGTGGATTTCAAGTAGTGTTACATTTCCAAGTTAATAAACGGGCACAAATCCTTCACAAGTTTGAAAGGAGTTTATCAGAGATGTTTTTCCACATTTCCAAGTTAATAAAAGGACACAAATCCTTCACAAGTTTGAAAGGAGTTTATTATCAAAGATACGTTTTTCCACATTTCCAAGTTAATATAAGGGCACAAATCCTTCACAAGTTTGAGAAGCATTTATGATCAGAGATATGTGTCGTAGGACATTGGGGCTTAATCCTGATTTACAAAAACAACCATGATCAGACTCCTGAGTCTAGGACCTTTCTAAATTAAATTCTTTGGCCCTTCAAAGTACAAATTTAGCAAGTAAAATTTCTCTGGAAAGGAATATGCTTTAGGGGAACATTGATACTTTTCAGGAAAAGTATCAATTATAGTATGGTATGTGAGATGCTGACCCTTTATACATTAGAAATTAGTACACTCAGAAATGGGTGAGGTTGGGGGAGCTGGGAAGAGAATGACTGACATGGGACAAGGTACACTATACTTACAAACTGATATGTTCAACTGAAATCCTTTTGTATAAAGATAATTACACAGAAAAGAAAGAAGTTAGAATACTTACTTAAATGCAGCAGACAGTGTCTTGTTTTTCCTAACGAAGGTGATCCTTACTAGGCCATCCCATTCCTGAAATACAAGTGGATATGTTCTTGAAAATACCAATTTTACTTATGCCTGCAAAGTACTATCTTTTTTTTTTTTTTGGGTCCAGTCATGGGCCTGAACTCTGAGCCTGGTCGCTATCCCTCAGCTCTTCAGCTCAAGGCTAGCGCTCTACCACTTGAGCCACAGCGCCACTTCCGGCTTTTTTTTTCCTGCTTATGTGGTGCTGAGGAATCGAACCCAGGGCCTCATGCATGCAAGGGAAGCACTCTACCACTGAGCCACCTTCCTAGCCCAAGGTACTATCTTTTAATATATAAAAACTGAGGAAAATATTTGGAGTAATGAAAATGGCCTAATCCTTGATCTAACTCGCACATATGCAAAAATAAGACGTATATTGGATTTCTGTACGTTTATGCACCTCCTTATATTTTTTGCCTTTTTAAAAATTTGAAAAAACTAAAACTGTAAAATGTAAGAACAAACTAAGGTTATGACATTTAAGTATCACTTTCAAAAGTAAGATGTAAAGGAGGCAAGATTAGGATACAGTTTGTGAGCATGACTGACTTTGTGAGAATTCACAAACCATCTTCCATTCATCTCACAGTTTCCATAATAACAGGACTATCATGGTTTTACATCAAGACTGCAAGTGGTCTTGATTTCTTAAAAGATTTTGTTTCACAAAAACAAAAAGTGGTATTTCAAAGTATTCCTGCCATCCTAACTACTGAAAGGGATGAGAGCTGAGGAATGTGGTTCAAACACAGGCTAGGCAATAAAGTCCTTGAGACTATCTCCAATTAAGTATCAAAAAAAACCCTAGAAGGAGTATGGCTTAAGTGATAAGAGTGCTAGCTTTGAGCAAAAAAGTTCAGGGGCAGCACCCAGGCCATGAGTTCAAGCCCCAGGACCAGCCTATACATAAAGTATTCCCACACACTCAGGCTAAGTTCAAGCACTATATTGGCACATATCCATGCATGTGTGTGCGTGTGCACACACCGTGTTCCCCACCAAAAAACAAAAAAACAAAAACAAACAAAAAAACATCCCTCACAGGCTGGAGGTATAGCTCAGTGGAACTTGAAGGACTTATGGTTCATCACAAGGATGACAAAAAAACAAAGGTACTATAATATTACTCAAAACAGGCATCTTGCATTGCATTTTACCTTGTGTTCTAAGTTTTATTCATATAAACAAGCTTTTGTAGCTACAAAACAAAAAGCAACTGCATTTTAACTGTTTTGCTTTGCCTTTTACACTTTCTTTGTATTTATGGCCTTCTTACCTATCTTCCAACAAACTGTTCCCTCTATTCCATCACAAGGATATATTTTCACAATTTACGTTTTGTAGGAAATGGCTGTTGCTGAAGACACATCACTAGGTGGCCTTTTCTTCCCTTTATTATTAAAGGACCTAGAATTTTATCCTCACCTGAAAATTGATGGGTGGTGGTGGATTCTTAGGTTCTATCCTCACAACACTGGATTCCACCTTAGGTGGTGGTCTGAAGTTATTCTTCCCAACCTGTTAATCAAAAAATGTCTTATCCTTCCAAAGGCAACTTTAAATAGTCATCAAAGATACTTGCCTCACAGAATGCAAAGCTAGTTGCTTAAGGATGACTTAAGCTACATTATTTCAATAATAAAAATCACTTACTTTCATTAAATGGTCTACACGGGCTAACAGCTGTGTATTAATTGAGAGTCTGCAGTATAACTTATCTCCAGGTTTAGCAACCAGTCTGAGAGCAAATTCTCTTTGAAACATAAGTATGGCACATCTGGAAAGCAAGCAGGAAGGAATAAGAAAATAGTCATTTAAAGTGTATTTTTACTATATATCATTATAATGTGAGGGAAATAGTGGTGAATGTTAACTAGTTTAGGCTTTGCTTTATTGTACTACCACAAAATCAGATGGCTGCTTTTGTTTTATAATAGCTGCATCTGTCAGCCCTGAGGAATATGGTGTGTTCTCACTGATGAGTACTTCAGAGCTACCCTAGGCCATTAACACTTCTGCAAAAACTAGAAAGTTGAGTCTGTAGCAGAATTATACCTGTGGAGTAGCAAAAAAGTAAGGCTGGAAGGACAGGTGACGTTCTGGGTGCCCATGGCTTAACAGTTTAAACAATGTGAATTTGTTCTTCAGCAAGCAATGTGGAGAATGTTTGAGTCTACAAGACAAGTGCATCTTTTAAAATTGTACTTCCGTTAACTTTTTTTTTTTCAGTACTGAAGTTTAAACTAAGGACCCCATGCTTGCTAGGCAGGCACTGTACCCCTGAAGCCACACCCGCAATCTTTTTTTGTTTCAATTACTTTTACAAAGGATCTAATATTTATGCCTGGAACTGAACTCAGACTGCAGTCAAAGGCAACAATTCTCTTTGGCATCTCACGAACGGATCTTCCTGATCTGTCTCCTATGTGGCTGGGATTACAAGTATGAGCCCACTACACTAACTTACAATTAAAATGTTTTAAAATTGCTATTATATAGGTGATGTTCAAAGGGGATAAAGTTATATAAGTCAGGTAAAGGGTATGTTTCTCTTTTTGACAATGTTACCCAATGTTACTCCTTCCCTTGCCCTCTCAGTTTTTCCCTCTCATCTTCACCCACAAGTTCATTTTCAAAGCCGTGTCTAGTGAGTACTACTGCTGCATTTTAATCTACCACTTGTTGACAATGAGTCACATTAAGAAATGTCACACGCTGAGATCTGGAGATTGTGGTTTGAGCCAGCCCAGGCTGGGTAAGTCCATGCAACTATCTCCAATTACCCAGCAAAAAGTCAAAGTGTGTCTCAAGCGGAAAAGGCTTTGAGCAAAATAGCTAAGTGAGGGTGGAGGCACTGAATTCAAGCCCCAGTACTGGTAGAAAAAAATAGTTTTTAAGTTGGTGCCTCAGGTCTATCATCCTAGCTACTTAGGCAGAGATCTGGAGAAGCATTATTCAAAGATAGCTCAGACAGAAAAGTCTCCTAGACTCCATCTTTAACATAACTGGCAAAAAGCATGACTGGACACTAGGCCCAAGTGGTAAAGCACCAAGCAAGCAAATAGGGTATACTCAAAGTCCTTAGTTCAAACTTCCAGTGTGACAAAAAAATGTATGGACAATGCAAAAAAGTCATAAATATGTTTACATACCTCAAACAAAACCATGAGATACAGTCACCTAGACCATGCAATGCCCTCCATAGCCTATTCTAGTAACTTTAGAAAAAAGAAGAAAAAAATGGTCATGATGCCCTTAATTTATTTTATAACCACTAAGGGGATATTTGACTTGAAGTTTGAGTTACTAGTATACTATATTAGTATACTAGTATTCCATACTAGAGACCAGCTGCAATTATCTAGACATAGGATAAAAAGCCTGTTCTAGGCTAATAAGTGGCAGAGAACTAGCAAGTATGGAAAGGTATGTAAGTACATCGCATGCATGCATGCATGCACATGTGCATGCGCACATGGGCACACACACACCTCTGTAAATCTGTAGAGACTTCCATACAAATCAATATTTTTGTATAAAATTTTCTAGCAGTATTTCAAATGACTTTATTTTTGGTTATTCACCGGGCCTAAATTGTCAATTTTCTACCATTTGGCAGTCACTCTGGTCTTCTGTCACGAACCTGAAGAATGGTCGGTGCAGCAACAACTTGAAGACAAAAGGAGAAGAAATCTGTAAGAGAACCACTAGTTACTTTGAGGACGGGCACTGAGAGATAAACTTAAGTTGTTTCTGACAGGCTGAGAACATACCTGATAAGGCAAATTTGCAACACATGCATCAAAGAATGGCAAATCAGATTTCAGCACATCACCCACCAGCACTTGAAGTTTGCTAGCCAAAGGTCTGAAGGTAAGAAAAGATATTTAGTTACAATGTACTAAATATCATACTAACATGTACTTTAATTTCATTACCTATACTTACGTGCCCTGAACTCTTTTGTGAAGTTCAGCTACTAGTCTTGGGTCAAGTTCACAGGCAACTACCTAAACAAATAGCAAAAAAGTTTTTTTATTTATCGAGTATAAATCTTTTCTTTTTTTTTTTTTTTTGTCGGTCGTGGGGCTTGAACTCTGGGCCTGGGCGCTGTCCCTCAGCTCTTCAGCTCAAGGCGAGCACTCTACCACTTGAGCTACAGCGCCACTTCCAGTTTTCTGGTGGTTTATTGGAGATAGGAGTCTCACGGTCTCCCCTGCCTGGGCTGGCTTTGAACTGCAATTCTCAGATCTCAGCCTCCTGAGTAGCTAGGATTACAGGCGTGAGCCACCAGCACGAGCACGGGCTAAATCTTTTCTTATTATGCAAATAGTAACTCATACTTTTCCAATTCTACCCTCACTTATCTCTCCAGTTTGTATTTTGTACTACTCAGAAAGCAAACAAGATTATTGAGAATTCTACGCAAATAAATAGTTAACAGGATAGTTCTTCTCTCCTCAGGCTACATAACTGAACATGTGAAAGTAAACAAGATCTATCATAGTCAATGTTCTTAAGACAGGGACGCACAGGCAACTACTCCTAGGATGAAGTATCACTTTTCTGATACTGAGCTCCAGTACGCAAGGTACAGACAAATCAAGTAAATGTCAGTGGACACTGGACAAGGCTGACATTACAATCTCATTGCGGTATAAGTGGAGGCTTCAGATTTCCAGTCAGTCACTGTCTACAGGATAGAGCCATAGGCTGCTTATTCTAGTTGGCTCCCAGATCCATTCTCTTATCTTTTCTGAGCCTTGAAGGTAAAGTAGTACAGCTTCCTTACTCTTTCGCTTTTGGGGAAAAAAAGCATCAGTAAGTGGTTGGAGGGTGTGGTTCAATGATAAAGGATTTGCATAATACATGGAGGGCCCTAAGTCCAAGCCCCAGCACCACTGTAGGGACAGGGCGAGACACCAGCATTATTAAGTATCTATAATGGAAAGGCCAGGCATTTATTTCCTAATGACTGACCATGCCTTGTAGAAGTTTTGGTGGTAAATACACTCTATTATGAATGGCTCCTCCTCAATAACTCCATTTCCCCTGGGTTCTGGCAACAAAGTTCTCTCCTCTTTCTCCTAAGATTTCAGAGAGTACTTGCTTCCTGTGGCTAGTCCTTAACATTTCTCTAATCCTTACTGATTTCCTTGAACTCCATTCCCACAAAACTCTAAATATTATTTTCATTTAACAGTCTTCAAACAAGCTCTTTAAAATGTTATCTGCTGGGCTGGGAAAGTGGCTCAGTGGTAGAGTGCTTGCCTTGCATGCATGAGGCCCTGGGTTCAATTCCGCAGGACCACATAAGCAGAAAAAGCCGGAAGTAGCGCTGTAGCTCAAGTGGTAGAGCCCTAGCCTTGAGCTGAAGAGCTGAGGGGACAGTGCCCAGGCCCAGAATTCATGCCCCAAAACCGACAAAAAAATAAAATGTTATCTGCTTCCACCAAGTACAAAGCAACAGTTCCATGTAATCCTAGCTATGCAGGAGGCATATGTGGGATGGAAACCTGAGGCAAGCCCCAAGCAAAAAGCACAACTGGAAAAAAAAAAATGGAAGCAGTTGGGTGCTGGTGGCTCATGCCTGTAATCCTAGCTACTCAGGAGGCTGAGATATGAGGATTACAGTTCGAAGCCAGCCCAGACAGGAGAGTCTGAGACTCTAATAAATTACCAAAAAGCCACAAGTAGAATTGTGACTCAAGTGGTAGAGCACTTGAGCAAGAGAAGCTTAAGGACTGTGCCCAGGCCCTAAGTTCATGACACAGGACCAGGGGAAAAAAACATTGGAAGCAAAAAAGACTTGTGGAGATTTAAATGGGTGCTTGTCTAACCAATACAATATTCAGTCTAAACCCAGGCACCCTTCAAAATTAAAACAAAAAAGTTCTGGTTTACAGTAAGTTAAACTTCTTTTTTTGTTCCTCTAGGCCTAGAAGTAATTAGCTGTTCTTTGCAATTCATTTTGGGTTATCTTGGTGCCCCCATATTGTTCTTTCCTCGAACAAGTCTGTGACCAATTCCTACATTATACTCCCTGTTAATATATCCAGTGCAGTTTGTTCTCCTAATATATCTCCTATTTTCAAAGATCAAAATTCTATTAAGACATCAAGAATTATTTACTAATAGCAATGAATTTAAACAGATTTGTATTTGGACCAATTGAGCTTCTTTATAGTCAATTCTGACACCTAAACATGAAATCTTCTTTTTACCTTTTTTGCCTTTTCTAATAACTTTACGGTCATGTTGCCAGTTCCAGGCCCAACTTCCAGCACCACGTCTGTTGGTCTTAGAGCAGCCTAAAAGCAAAGCACAATCCTCTCTGAGTGAGTGCTTGGTGCATCTGAACATAGTTTACACCTAAACATCTTTGATCATCAATGCTTATTTAAGAGACCTCACTATATCAGAACTAAGAAGATAGAGGCAGAGGATCTCTAGTTAAAGGCCAACATAGGATTTTTTTTTTTTTTTTTTTAAAAAGAGAGATTTTCCTAGGCACTGGCTTATACCTGTAATCCAAGCTACTCAGGAGACTGAGATCTGAGAAACCTGGTTCAAAGTCAGCCTGGGCAGTTAAATCGATGAGACTCTAATCTCCAATAAACTACTCAGAAATAGCTAGAAGTGGTGCTGTGGTTCAAGTGGAAGACTATTAGCCTTAAGCACAAAGAGGCTCAGGGACAGTGGACAGGCTCTGAGTTCAAATCCCAGGATCCACACACACACACACACAAAAAGCACATATAAATGTTTCTGCTATGATGACTGGCTTCCTGCTTTCTACCTTGGAAATTATTCAATAGCTATTAAGTTACAAATTCTGTTCCTATCAACAGTTGAAATGAGAGAGGACTGCATATGATGTATTTGCCTGAAAATCTTCTTACTATACTAGACCAAGATTTCTCAAACTATGTAGTTTCAGAAATGAAGATGACAAGAAACTGAACCCCAAACTGGGAGCATGTAAACATGCAGCTGTCAATACTGTAACTACATAAGATTCTTTGTACTGTGTAAAGCTCCAGAACATTACTTTCCTTATCTTAAAAGTAATTAGTAACTCTACACCAGAATCAATTCCAAATGGATCAAAGACCTCAAAGTAAAAGCAAATACCCTAAAAACATTACAGGAAGGAATAGGAGAAACTCTAGGGCTCCTTGGCACAGGCCACAATTTTCTTAATAAAGACTCAGAAACACAACAAACCAAAGAAAGGTTGAACAAATTGGACTGCATGAAACTGCAGAGTTTCTGCATTGCAAAGGAAATAGCTCATAAGATGAATAGAAAGCCTATGGAAGATCTTCATTAGCTATACAATGACAAAGACCTCATAACTAAAATATACTAAGAATTCAAAATTTTAAATCCTCCAAAAAAAAAAAATTCTCAAAGACACAACCGCCCGATTAATAGGTGGGCGAAAGATTTAGAGACTTTTCTGAAGAGGAAACAAGGATGGCCAATAGACACATGAAGAAATGCTCAACCTCCCTAGCCATAAGCCATAAAAGAAATGGAAATCAAAACAACATTGAGATTCCACATCACCCAGTTAGAATGGCTATAATCAAGAACTCTAATAACAACAGATGCTGGAGGAGATATGGCCAAAAGGGAACCCTACTGTATTATTGGTGGGAATGTTAACTTGTTCAACCACTCTGGAAAGAAGTATGGAGGTTCTTCAAACGACTACACAGAGCTCCCCCTATGACCCAAACCCACTTTTGGGCATTTACCCAAACAATCACAAGCAAGGCCATACTAAAGCTACCAGTACAACTATGTTTATCCCAGCATTATTTACCATAGCTAAGATATGGAACCAACCCAGATGCCCCTCAGTAGATGAACGGATCAAGAAAATGTGGTACACACACACACACACACACACACTGGAATAGATGCCCCTCAGTAGATGAATGGATCAAGAAAATGTGGTACACACACACACAGGAATTCTATGCTTACACACACACACACACACACACACTCTGGAATTCTATGCTTACACACACACACACACACACACACACAAACACACACACACACTCTGGAATTCTATGCTTCTATGCTTACACACACACACACACACACACACACACACACACACACACACACACACACACACACACACACACACACACACACTCTCTCTGGAATTCTATGCTTCCACCAGAAAGAATGACACTGCCCCATTTGTTAGGAAGTGGAGACTTGGAAAAAATTGTATTAAGTGAAGTAAGCCAGACCCAAAGAAATAAAGGTCTCATGGTTTCCCTCATTTGTAATAATTAGTATACATCTAGGATAATTTCATCAGATGAGCAGAAAAGCTCAAAAGCTATGTACATGTGACCATATAAGTTAATGCCAAGTAAAACAAACTCCAAGATATGGACACAGAGGTCTTTTTATGTTGTTGTTTTTTTTAATGTACTATGTGATTTTTTTGTTTCCTTTCTATGTTCTTTCCCCTATGATATATCCCCTATTGTCACTGTACTTGATTTTGGTACCCTGCATCTTATCTAATTTGGGGAGGAGAAGGGGAATAACAAAACGCTGAAACAAGGACACAGGATGACCCATTGCAACAATGATACCCACAAGACAGTATATTGGAAATGAACTTTGCTTTATATCCTAGCACTCAATCATCCATAATAAAAGAGTTATGAATAATCTATATAGGAGAAATACTTGAAATAATTTATATGTTTTCCTGAGGAACCAACTAATGTGTGGTTTAGGCACACATTAGTTTTTATTTTATTTTATTTATTTATTTATTCTGGAATAAATGAAAAATAACACCAACATGGTACTTTAGAAAGTGATTGGAAGAACAATAATCTGGGACTGAACAAGTAAAAAAGTCCGGACAGAGGACAATACAGAGAAAGACACAGGATTTTTGAGTCACAGGAAATCTAGGTCTACAGAATGAAGCATATAATATACTGTAGGCAACTGTTATCTCACTCCATAACTATTTTCAGAGCACTCATTATTATGGCTCAGATTTACTATGTAGCCCAGGATGGCCTCAAACTGGCAATCTTATGCCTGGGATTACAAGTGTTTACTACTACACCCAAACTAAAAACTAAATAAGTATTTGTTAAGCACATCTGAGGTGATAAAAACTGCCATAGCCTCTCAGTATATTCCATTAAACAAGATACACAATGCAAGCAAGACCTGCTCTTATGATCCTATGTTTCAGGGTGACAGCACGGGAGGATCACGCACGGGCACGCCCACACACACGCACGCACGCACACACGCACGCACACGCACACGCACGCACGCACGCGCGCACACACACACACACACACACACACACACACACGAAATATTTATGATTAATGTTGGACACTTAAGGTAGGAGACCGTAGGTTAATACTTCAGATGGGGGTATCTCCTCTGAGGAGGTGACAGGTAGGCTGAAATTTGAGGGAGCTTCCCAAGCTAGCACATTGTGTGATTTACTGACTTTGATTTAGCTGTCTTCTCAGGACGCTCATTTACAGGTTGGTCACTCACTTTGGGGCCCAAAAGCGTGGTCTCCCCTCTCTGCCACTGACCAGCACACCAAGACCGCAAACTAACTCTGGGTCACCTGAGGCTGAGGGACACAATCAGTGGCGAAGATCCCTTGCTTGTGAAGGCTGCTGCCTGGTGGATGAAGTATTCTTTAAGAGTAAGATTAACTTGTAGAATTCGGCTATACAACTGTCGAAAAATGGATACAAGTAGTAAGCCAACAGCTTCTCCCCTGTCTTCTCCCACACCCACCTTATCGATAATGCTGTTAACAATCAGAGGATTTTTCAAAATGTGCTGTCCAATCCCCGTGTTGAACAGGAGTCCTGGAAGAAAACACGAAACTGCTTGACTTCCCAGCTACCAATGAAATACCAAGGCCGTCCGGGAGGAGAAGCAGGATGGGAAGGGGGCCGGTTTCGGCGCCGATCAGGCCATCAGACGTCCTGCTCCAGGCCGGGGCCAACGAGCAGATACAAGCGCACCCCTCCAGCCGCGCCTCCTGGGTCAGAAAGCGTCCCGGCTCAGGGCCCCGGAAGCCCGGACGAACTCCAGCTCACTCCCCCACCTCCCCATCCCCGGCCGGCCATACCTCCGGCCCGCTTCAGCTCTCCGCGCTGCTCCTGCCGTGCACGACGACGGCCGCTCGCACCCGACTTCACCTTCGGCATCTCGGCGGGAAGCGGGCCCCGAGGGCCAGGGTGTCTAAGGGCACCGAGGTGGGCCTAGCCGCCCTCACCGCACCACGTGGAAACTAGAACCCCGCAAGGCCAACGCCGCCCAGCGCTGCTAGGGGCAGAGGCGAGGCCAGTCCCCGCCCACTCACGCTCTGGGCACCGCCCACGTTGGAGCCCGATGACCGCCGGGAATTGTAGTTTCCAGCTAATTAACTACTATTGTGTATGTATTGTATGACTATATAGTAATGTATATGATCAGTCCTTACAGAAGACATCCATGTTGTTTCAAATTTTGTTTTTTTAATCAGGTCAGGTATGAGTTATATTTGCAAGGACATATGAAATCTTTTTTTTTTGTCGGTCGTGTGGCTTGAACTCTTGGGTTCTAGGCGCTGTCCCTCAGCTCTTTAGCTCAAGGTTAGCGCTCTACCACTTGAGCCACAGGGCCACTTACGGTTAACTGTAGATAAGAGTCTCACAGACTTTCCTACCCGGGCTGTTTTTGAACCGCGATCATCAGATCTCAGCCTCCTGAGTAGCTAAGATTACAGGCGTGAGCCACCTGCGCCCGGCAAAATCATTTCTTAAAGATACAATTTCCTAATCTTGTATGTGGTAAACTCGGTACAATTTAATTTATAAACATCTAATGAGGTCTATTGTAAATCTGAGCAGTCCAAGACCTAATTTTACACAAGTTGTAATAGTAAAATTATGTGTAACGAATTAGACTACAATTTGGGCATATATTCGTTTTCTCTTTCGGCTTTAACAAGTGAGTGATTTGAAACAACATAAATTTATTATCTCTGGATTTTGAGACAAAGCTCAAAATTATGTTCAGGGCTGAGTTACTTCCAGAGACTATAGAAAAGAATGATTCCTTGGCATTTCTAACGTCCACAAACCTCTAACATTCCTGATTCCTTACACACATATTGACTTTTAATTTCATGGTTATACTTTTCTCTCTCCGATAAAAATATTCACTTATAAACACTATTGTGATGAGCCAGGTGCTGGTGGCTCATGCCCATAATTCTAGCTATTCAGCAGTTTTGAGATCAGAGGATCATGGTTCAAAACCATTCATGGTAGGAAAGTCTGTAAGACTAATCTCCAATTAACCAGTAAAAAGCCAGAAGTGGAGCTGTGGCAGAGTGGCAGCCTTGAGCAAAAAATCTGAGGGACAGGACCCCAAAAGGAAAAATTGAATGACAAGAAAGTGGGGCAGGCTTCATCCAGTGTGTTGGGATGCCACTGAGAGAGGGGGATGGCTAATGAAGGAGGTGGTTGAAAGTTGCGTCTAGGAAAACAGAACACTGAGACCTGTTGAAACTTTTGGGAAGGAGGGGGGCACTGTGATGGGAAGAGGGAGAGGAAGGGAGGTGGAGAGAAAGAGAAAGAGAGAGAGATAGAGAGAGAGAGAGAGAGAGAGGAGAGAGACAGAGACAGAGAGAGTTTTTTTATACATCATATCCGTGTGTGGAAGTGTTATAATGTAGCCCCCCCCTTATACAACTAATGCATGATAATAAAAAAGTAAAAATAAATATTTACATTCTTTGGAGTACTAAATCCAGGAGTTCAAAAATTTAAAAGAAATCCACACGGTGGATCGAGTTGAGTGAGGATTCTGTTCATCTCTGCTGTGAGAAAACTGTAAAACAAGCCATTAATATCTAGAACAATGAGGATAAACTGGTTCTGAGTTCAGTTTCCGTCAGCTCAGGAGAGGATTGATTTTCCCGGGGCTGGCTTGACGATGATCCACGGTTGCCATGGTTACAGATCTTGGTAAAGAAGGCTCCAGGTTTTTATAAAAACGCGCAAGCGCACACCACTGATTTAGATACCGGGCGCCTTTGGGTTCGAACAGGAAACCCCGCCTCCTCTCCTCGCCATTAGCCTATGGTCTGCTTCCTTTGCCCGCCCCACGTGCTTCAGGAAGCCTTGACGTAATATTAGCGCGCCCGTGACGTGGCGAGTTGCGACGCGGAACATGGCGCGTTCCTAGAAGCTGTTTTCGGCATCAGTAGGCGGCAGCGTGTTGACTGGCAGCGTGGGGCGCGGGACTAACCGACGCCAGTTCGTGCTGAGGAGTGTAAACGAGAGGACTTGGCTATTCCGGACCGAACCAAACGGTGAGGCCCGGCCGGAGAGCCGCAGCGCGCGTGCGAGTGGGAGCGCGGAGTGGGTTGGGCAGCGGAGACTCAGAGAAGCGAGGAAGGAACCCGGTCTCCCGGAGGTGAGGGCTAGCACCGGCGAGGCCAAGGCGGCCTTTAGTGTCGGGCCTCGTTGTAGCCCCGGGGTCCCCGGGCGCCAGGCCCCGCGATCAGCCCGCAGCGGGAAGCAGGGTGTGGAGGAATCGAGGTGCGAGGTGACAGAGGTGGTTTTCCAGGCTGCGCCGATCTCCGGGTTCTCTCTGTGGCTCGGGTCTTAGGCCTGGGTGGTGCATTTGCCCTTGGGAGGATAAATAGTGCAGATTTTGAGAGGCTGCCCTTTTTAGTACAAAACGGTGTGCTGTTACTGCAGGGTCCCCAGTCTCGCTTCTGAGAGCCGTACTGTGAAAGCTTTTAACGTCAGACCCTTCCTGGCCTCCAGTGAAAAAGTAAATAGGGAGTAGACCTTTTCGGAAAGGAGCTTTTAGGCTGAGGTATGGCCGCCGGTGTTCAAGCCTTGCGACTCCCGCAGCTTTAATCTTTGGGGATATTTGTGATTCAGCAAAATTATTTTGAGGCCCGATTCATGTGTCATTTTTCGCAGTGATTTTGTGGGGTGGTGGTGTGTGAGAGAAGTAATCTTAAAGTGATTTGAGTAAGTAGCAGGGACTCGTAAATTGCCTGTTGGTGCCAACGTTGCAACCGACCGTGCCTCCTTCCCAGTACAACTGGAGCGATCCCCGTTATAGTGCAGAAGCGCCTTGAGATTGGATTATTCTTTAGAAGAGAGTGAGGAAGACCAGTTTGCAGCCATGATGTCCTTCCACTCTCGTGGACAGGGATTTTGTTTCTTCACTTTCACATATTTGCACCTTGTCAATACAGAGACTCGGGTTAAGACAGAGTGACTATCCTATACAAGACAGTCACTGCATGCATTACTTCTTATATTTATCTTCACTGAGGAATATTTTGGAGAATTAGAAGTTTTGTTCCTATTGGTTATAATAGGATTGAGGGGTTCCCACTCCTCATGGAATCTAGCACTGGGAATCATAGAAACAGCTTAATTGTGACCATGGTTTGTGGTTATATATTAGAGCACCTGGGCAGGATGATGTATTGCACCGCCACCCCCGTCACCCCTCAAGTTCTGGGGCCTGGGCTCTGTCCCTGAGCCTCTCTGTGCTCAAGGCTAGTGCTCTACCTCTTGAGCCACAGCGCCACTTCTGGCTTTTTCTGTTTATGTGGTACTTAGGAATCGAACCCAAGGCTTCATGCATGCTAGGCAAAGCACTCTACCACTAAGCCACATTCCCAGCCTGCTTGTACTTTTTAAAACCAAAAAGAAAACTTACCACAAATACAATTGGTTGTAATAATACTATTAGAAATTTTAGATAAGTATGCAAAGATTATTTGGTAATAGTAGAAAAATCTCCAGATTTTTGTAACATTATGAATATTTACATGAGAACTAAACCAGAATGCCAAGTCCTTGTTATTTACAAGGCATTTGAAACATAGGAAGATTTTTCCAGAAATAAAAATATACTATATGTCTTTCATCATACAGAATAATATTTATCGAAATGAACACCAGGAAATGGAAATGAGTTTTTTCTTAGTTGATGTTTTCATTTTCTTTTTATCAAAATTTGCTTATCTGTTTTTGGGAGGGGAAGGGGAGGCACAGAAATGGAGGGACAAAGCCTAAACAAATGCAGCAGTGATATTCACTAGACACTGTGTTGAAAATGAACTGTAGAACTTATGGGTGGTGATGGGAGGGAAAAACTCCCAAGAGGGAAGGGGTGATGTTGTCCAAAAAGCAATGTACTCTTTAACTGACATGTAACTGTAACCCTTCTGTACATTACTTTTATAATAACAGTTTAAAAAGTGAGATTTTTAAAAATCCATATTTTGAGAAAGCTAATGTGTTTAGTTACATTTTGATGTCTGTATTGTATGTGTCTATGTGTGGTATGTATAATGTCTGTTCTTCCCCTCACCCTACTGCTTGGATAGAACCCAGAGCCTTGTACATAGTATAGAGTCCTCTACTACTGAGCTGTAGCTCCACTCATGTTCTTTTCTTTTTCTACATCTGGTGAAGATTACCAGTTAATTTCAGAGTGTTTGAGGGAATGACTAGACACAAGTAGTGCAGGTGTATGTATCTGGAATCTCTTTGATATTCTAAATAATCAGGCTGATTTACAGATAAGCCCACAATTTTAAGCTTTGAAGAGCTTAAGCTGGATTGATTTTCTATACCCAGCTTACTCAAAATCTGGTACATGGTATCACCTGGGACTTTCTTAGAAATTTGCAATCATATGGGCTGGGAAGGTGGCTCAGTGGTCGAGCGCTTGCCTTGAATGCATGAGGCCTTGGGTTCAATTCCTCAGCACCACATAAGCAAAAAGAAAAAAGCTGGAAGTGGTGCTGTGGCTCAAGTGGTAGAGCGCTAGCCTTGAGCTGAAGAGCTGAGGGACAGTGCCCAGGCCCAGAGTTCAGGCCCCACGACTGGACCCCCCCCAAAAAAAAAATTGTAACAAATATGCCTATCATCTGGATGTCTCTTAAAATGCAGAATCTGATTCAGAATCTTTTGAATAGAACTAACGATTGCAAATTTCTTTTTTTGGGGGGTGGGAAGCCCAGTCGTGGGCCTGAACTCTGGGCCTGGGCACTGTCCCTCAGCTCTTCAGCTCAAGGCTAGAGCTCTACCACTTGAGCCACAGCGCCACTTCCGGCTTTTTTGTTTTTGCTTATGTGGTGCTGAGGAATTAAACCCAGGGCCTTAAGCATGCAAGGCAAGCACTCTATCACTGAGCCACCTTCCCAGCACCAATTTGTTACAATTTGAGAGGTGCTAATTTGGTAAATGTTGAAGATTCCCAAGGTCATTCACAAGCATGCAAAAATACACTATCATTTATTTTAATCAGCAGTGGTCTTGGGCTCATGATCAAGTTTTATTTACCTGCTTGAAGAACTGAGGCTCAGAAGTGGTAACTTTCATAAGGTCATAGGTATATCTAGATTCATAAGCCATTTTCTGAATCATTTTAGGACTCTGCTCCTTCTTTCTCTTCCCTTATCTCCCTCTTCTCTCCTCTGTTTCCTCTTCTAGCTTCTGTTTCCTCTTTTGCTTCTCTCTCCTCCTCTTCCAGCCTTTCCCCTCCTTCTTCTCTCTCCCATTCCCTCTCAGGACAAAAGGATACCAGTGCGCAGTCCTCTTGTAACACCAGTTATTGGATTAGGGCCCTGTACTAATGGTTTCCCTTTATCTTTTTTTTCTTTTCTTGGTGCATATATTCATTTAACAAATGCTTTCTTTATTCACCAAGTTATAATAACTGAAGAGAAAAATTTGAAAGCTTTTAAGAACATTTACATTAAAAGATACTCAGAGAGCCTATACTTTTAGTAATACAGTATTTTGTTTAATTTTTATCACTTTTTTTATATTAGAAAAGTTACATGTATTTAATATTGCTTGCCAATGTGAGTAGTGGGAAGTTTTAATAGACTAAGTAATTAATCAAATTGTATTTTAAAGCTATTTCAAGCAGTGCAGAGATTGCAGAAAGTACAAACCCAGCTGAAAAAATATACACCATGCTGCAGCAGATTCAAAGCCTGAAAGTAAGTGGAAGTTACTTCATGATATAGGTGATTAGAAAATATTGATACAGATGAAGATATTCCTCAAGCAATCGATTAATAGGAACTAATACCATCTAGTGATTTCTTCATTTTTGGAGCATCATTCCCTCAATGGTAAATGGGAATACTAATGAAAACTTCCACGATTAAAATAAAATCCTACTGTGTTTTAATAAGGGAGTGAAAATAATGATAACTGGTTGTGAAAGGAGGCTCTCCAAGTAAGTGTTTTTATAGGACAGATACTGTGGAAAAAAAAGATGGATGGAAAAATACGAATCATTGTTTGCAGCCAGATTCTAAAGAAAAGAATAATTCCAGGCTCCTGTGGCTTAAGCCTTCAATACTAGTTACTCAGAAAGCTGAGATTTGAGGATTGTGCTTTAAAGTTAGCCCAGGCAGGAAAGTCTGTGAGACACTTATCTCCACTTAAGCCCCAAGTGGTAGAGCATCAGCCTTGAGCTGAGTTCAAGTCCCAATACCAGCACACACACAAATATTGAAACCTTAAAATTGCTTGTTTTTCAGGCTTGCAGAACAAAAGGGCTGATTATTTGAATAACCCTGGCCTGATCTTACCTACCTTTACGCATTATACCACCTTAAAATTCTTGTCTCCAAATACTAAGAGTACTGGGATTAGTGCTTCAACATTTGAATTTTAGATGATCATTTCAGTTTACAGCACTGAGTTGTAACTAAGTTGTTGGAATTTAGGCATTCTCTTTTTTTTTTGTCGGTCATGGGGCTTGAACTCTGGGCCTGGACACTGTCCCTCAGCTCTTCAGCTCAAGGCGAGCGCTCTACCACTTGAGCTACAGCGCCACTTCCGGTTTTCTGGTGGTGTTATTGGAGATAGGAGTCTCACTGTCTCTCCTGCCCGGGCTGGCTTTGAACCGCGATCCTCAGATCTCAGCCTCCTGAGTAGCTAGGATTACAGGCGTGAGCCCCCAGCGCCTGGCTAATTTGGGCATTCTTAAAAATCTCTAAGCTGGGTGCCAGTGGCTCACGCCTGTAATTCTAGCTACTCAGGAGGCTGAGGACAACAGTTTAAAGCTAGCCAAGCAAGAAAGTCTGTGAGACTTATATCCAATAAACTACTCAGAAAAAGCTGGAAATGGTCCTATGTCTCAAATGGCAGAGTGTGAGCCTTGAGCACAAGGAGGCTCAGGGACAGAGCCCTAGGCCCTGAGTTTAAGCCCCAGGACTGGCCCCCCCAAAACCCCAAATTCTCAACTATATTGTCCTCATTCCAACTCTCCATTACTCTCTAGGTTTTTGGTTTTTGTTTGTTTGTTTGTTTTGGATTCAGAGCCTTGACTTTGCTAGGCAAATGCTGTACCATTTGAACCATGACCTTTTTGTTCCTAGCTACTTTTTAAAAAGGTCTTGCATTTATGTCTGGGTTGGCCTGGGCCTTGATCCTCTTATTTATGCCTCCCATATAGTTTTCCCTAGGTGCCCTAGAGTTAAGTTTTCCTCTTCTTCTATAGCAGCATGTGCTTTTATAGTATGTTTTAATTGTTGTTTGTTTTGTGTAGAATTGAATGAAAAACTTTTTTTCTTCTTTCATAGTAGTGTGTAACTAACAGAGGCTATTTCATTGTCAATACTGTAAATGTAAATGAAGTTACCAGTTGCAAGAAGCTGAAATGTTACTCTGGAAGTTAGACTGAGTAGGCTGGAGAAGTGAGAATGAGTACTTTCTAAGGCTTTATTGGATTTTATTCATACAGTTCATTCATTTAACACCTATTTTCATTTAGATACTATTTTAGATTCTAGGACACAACTTTGAACATATTGAAGTCCCTAGATTAAATTCAGATGAAGAAGCTGTATCATTATTACAGTAAATATACCAGAATGTCAAATAATTACAGATTTTTTTGGGGGGGGGGGTCTAGTCGTGGGGCCTGAACTCTGGGCCTGGGCACTGTCCCTCAGCTCTTCAGCTCAAGGCTAGCACTCTACCACTTGAGCCACAGTGCCACTTCCGACTTTTTTCTTTTTTGCTTATGTGGTGCTGAGGAATCGAGCCCAGGGCCTTAAGCACGCAAGGCAAGCGCTCTACCACTGAGCCACCTTCCCAGCCCCTAGTTACAGATTTATGCAAAAAAATGAGAGAAGCTATCAGAGTCAGAGTGAGCTGTTGTAGAGTGGCAGTTAGGAAAGAGCTTTTTTAAGTAGAGGACTTGAATAATGACTAGAATGACATTAAAGGGCAAGACTAGCTTATAAATAGTCAGGAGCTTCCTAGCTAGTGGGAACTGATTGCACAAGGGAAGAATAGCAGTTGATGTATTTCACTGAAAGTAGACACATATGTTTTCCACTTGTTTCTATGGAGAAGCCCAAGGTTGATTAACAACCTTGCCCTCAGGCTGGGAAAGTGGCTCAGTGGTAGAGTGCTTGCCTGGCATGCATGAGGCCCTCGGTTCAATTCCTCAGCACCACCTAAACAGAAAAAGCCCCAACTGGCGGTGTGACTCAAGTGGTAGCTCTAGCCTCGAGCTGAAGAGCTCAGGGACAGTGCTCAGGCCCAGAGTTCAAGCCCCATGTCCGACAAAAAACAAAAACCAGTAACCTAGTCCTCAACTCCTCTGAGTAGTTTCTTTGGTGTGATGTGAAAATGTATAGTTATACGAGGTACAGTTAAGCATATGTGTTTTGATCACAGCTTGCTAGAAAATATGTTCTGCAGGACTTTTTTGTCTTTTTGTTTCATCTCTGTATCTCAGTCATATATAGCAATCTCTAGCATTTGTAGGTATTCAGTGCATATTTAATGACTAAAGCAGACAAGTCTGATGTTAAACCTAGAAATATCAGTTGTTGGAGATCACAGTACTAAAAAAGTTAATTAGAGAACCCAGAGTTTATTTAATACCTGCAGTGCAAAGTGTTGCTAAATTTTGTTGGATTGATGTATTCTTCACTAACTGCTGTCCCTGACCTTTTTGCTCTACCCCGCAAGCCATAGCTCCACCTCTGGTTTTTTTAGTAGTTCTTTGGGTTTTATGGACTTTTCTGCCTCTTTGAACGTTTATCCTTGAGGATCCTTGATCCTCTGATCTCAGCCTCCAGAGTAGCTAGGATTACAGGCCATTTATTTGGTTTTGTTTTTTTTTTGTTGTTGTTGTATTTTTTTAACTGTATTGTTTACTCGTAGTCCTCTCTTTAGATGTCAAACAGTTCTCCGTTCCTTTAGGAATATTTTTATCCCCTGCCTTCTTTCTTCTCACCTTTTCTAAAAGTCTGTCACTGACTTGCAACTCAAATTAATGTTTTGTTCATCATGACATTTACTGTATCCTTTATACTGTGTTAAGTGAACTTGAGTATTAGCAGCTCAAGTTTTTGTAGATCAGACACAATTGAGCAAGGAACTAGGTATAATAATAGACACCTTACATCTTTGCATTTTTGATAAAAGAGTTCTTTACTGTTGAATGCATTTAGATGTTTCCACAAGAGGTAATATCTGCTGTGAACAACTTGAATGATCTCTGTCCCCATCAGTTGCCAATTAAAAAATACATTAGACAGATTAGTATAAGGGAGCTTCATCTCTACCCATTATCCCTCATAATTATCAATTGTATTTCATGGTATCTGTCATCCACCACCTCATCTCATTCTAGTTATATTACTAGAAGATCTAGAAGTGGGTTAGATTTAAGCTTAAGCTTTTTGTCCCCGAAGCATTTTTTTTTTTTTTTTTTATGACCAAGGGGTCTCCCTGTGTAGTCCAGGAAGTCTTGAATTCATTATTTAGCTCAGGTTGGCCTGAATTTCCCATGCTCCCGTGTTAAAATTATAGCCATGGATCACAATGCCCAGCTAACAGTTTTTCTTTTGGAATTTTGATTTCTCAAAATAATAAAATTTCCTGTAAGTTTTCTAATGTGTTAACATTTTTACTTTAATAGTCTTTGAATTCTTCCTTCACTTATTGTCTTTAATTAAAACTTTTCCATTTATCTGTAAGTGTCATCTGGGGGAGGAAGGGACTGGTAACTGGGGCTTGCACTCAGGACCTTGATTCTGTCCATTCACTTTTTTGCTTAAGGCTGGCGCTGTATCACTTGAGGCATACCAGCTTTTTGTTAGTCAGTTAAAGATAAGAGACTCCTGCTTGTTGAACTGCTATCCTTGGATCCCAGCCTCTTGTGCACATAGGACTGACTGCAGGTGTGAGCCACCGACCTGCTAATATATGTTCTTGATTGAGTTTCTGAGTTGTGTTTATATTCCATTGTTCCTTACTGCATTACATTTTGTTCAGTTCCTTCTTCAAGTAAGTCTAAAAAGCACATTCAAATCTCACTTTGAATGTGGGTGCCAGTGGCTCACACCTGTAATCCTAGCTACTCAGGAGGCTGAGATCTGAGGATCACTCACTATTCAAAACCAGCCTGGGCAGGAAAGTCCATGAGACTCTTTATCTCCTATTAACCACCAGAAAACTGGAAGTGATGCTGGGGCTCAAGTGGTAGAGCGCTTGCCTAGAGTTCAAGCCCATGACTGACCCTCCCCCCCCCCCCCAAAAAAAAAAAAATCTCACTTTTTTTTTTTTGGTTTTGCTTTAGTTTTTTGGTCGTGGGGCTTGAATTGAGCCTGGGTGCTGTCACTGAACTTTTTCGCTCAAGGCTATATAGCATTCCACCACTTTGAGCCACAGCACTAGTTCTGGTTTTCCTGTGGTTAATTGGAGATAAGAGTCTCATGGACTTTCTTGCCTGGGATGGCTTTGAATCCTTGGTTTTCACAATCCTTAGTTTTCAGCCTCTTGAGTAGCTAGGATTACAAGTGTGAGCCACTAGTGCCCGACTGTGTGTGTGTGTTTGCCAGTCCTGGGGCTTGAACTCAGGGGCCTGGGCAATGTCTCTGAGCTTCTTTTGTTCAAGCTCGTACTCTACCACTTGAGCCACAGCCACTTCCAGCCTTTTCTATTTATGTGGTACTGAGGAATAGAA